CTGAATAAAATTATTATAACCAGCTAAAAGGTATAAAAACAGACAATTTTGTCCCCAAATCATAGTTTAAAAATCTCATAACTAAGCCAAAAAATCATTAATTTTAATTCTGAAAGCTGTTACCTTCTAGTTTTTACTAGGTTATTAAATCTGCATACTAAGTTTAGAATTTAAAAAGATTCAAATTTTTATAAATTTTTTGCAATTTTAATGAAAAAAATAAATTTTAGTCGGATATAGCTAGATCGATTCGTCTGTTAATTCTGATCAAGTATATATATACTTTATAGGGTCGGAAATGCATTTTTCACTTCGTTTTAACCTTATGACTAATATTATAATACCCAGCAAGGGTATAAAAATACTAGGTTTGATATCAATTAATTGTAGTGTCCACATAAACGCAATTTAAATTTAACAAGTAAAATAGCATTCTTTAAAATTTAATTATAAAAATCAAAAACTAATGCAAATGATGTAAATTGAGTAGTAATTTTAATTTGGAATCTGACTTAGATAAAAAAAAACTTGTTCTTGATCTTGAAACCTATGAATTTTATAGCTGTAATAGAATTTTAATGAGATATACTAAACAATCTGTTAGAATATATAAAATATAAATAGTGTTTTTATTTTATCAGCAGCTCTGCGCTGTAAAATATCTAAATTAATTGTAGTCTATTGTCTTTTATCAGGAACTAGGTTCCCAGCTTTTAAAACATAAGTAAGTATCATAAGTAAAGGCAGTGATTCTAAATCTATGTAAAGTTAAAATAGCAGATTTAAAGAGCAAAAAACAAAACGAAAAAAAACTTCAAATATTAGAAAACACAGCAACTTCTCCTTTAGAGAGTCTCCCCCGTGCTCGAAAAGCGTGAGAATTGCTTGCGCAAATTCAAGATCAGCCAAGTACTTGGCGTTGTGCCAATTGCAGAGTCGCTAATTGAAGGGAACAACGAAGTGCTTTTAGAAATCGCCCATTTCGCTGACGATAAATTAGAAGCACAAACACCGAAAATTATTTATGAGCCGTCCGAAATAATTGGCTAAAACAAACACACAAACAGACATGGGTGTGGGGAGATAGGCAGACGCAAAGGGCGGAAAGGGTGGTGCAACCAGCGCCCATGACAGGTGGTGGTGGCTTCTAACCGCCCTGCTTTAGTGTGTGTGTGTATGTGTGTTACAGCGGACTGACGTTTGACGTATGCCAATGTGTGTGTGTGTGTGTTTATGCCGTGACGCAGTCGCAGCTTCAAACGTCAGCTTGCAATCTTTCACTTTTTCGTGTCTGCCGCGCGGTGTTCGTTCCAGTTTTTCCTAAATTATCTCCTCTAGCTTCGTTATTGTTTTTGTTACGAGCATTTTCGCCTTGATTATCCACACGCGACGTTTGGGAGCAGCTCTCGTTGGACCATTGTGTTGTTGTTGTTGATGCAGTAAGTTCTAGGCCCTTTTTGACACACTTCTGGCTTCCTCTCTCTCACTCTCTCGCTCTGCTTTACTCTCCCTTCTTTCCCCCTCTCTTTCGTCTTGCACTGGGTCTCCTATCGCCTCTACTCTATTACTTTTACGCATAAACTATGCTAAACAACTTTCTTCTGCAGAGGGGCGCGCTTTGTGCAAAAGTATTTATGATAAATTTCATACACCACACACTCACACTAACTCGCTCGCACTACCACTCACCCACTCTCACTCACACACACACACGCACCCAGAGAAATAGACACACTCGTATCGAGAGATCCGAGTCCCAACGAGATCCAAGCACATATACACACACAAAGGGGGAGAGCAGAGCTTAACTCGGTTCCCAAGGTCCGTCTTTGAAATTCCGATTCTGCGCTTTGTTTTATCACATTTTCGGCATTTTTGTGTGGCTCCATCAGTCTTGGCATGGCGGGCAGCAGGTTTCGGGCATTGGGAATGTAACAAAATTTCATTACCAAACACAGACACAGGCGCAGGCGCAAAAACAGAGACACACACTGGAGCGCGTTCAGTAACACAGGCACAAGATTCGAGCACACGCACACCGACCGCCGCTGAACCGTTCAGTCCGTTTCCCGATCGCTTTGAGACTGTAAGCTACTCCATCGCTGAGCCGAACCTCAGAAAGGTAAATAAGTCCATGGTGCAAAAGTATAAGGTGGTCTGAGCTTTTATTATGTGCGAATGAAACGCCAATACAGTGTGTTTGTTAACCCTTATGTTGACTATAAAAATATGTATTTTCTAATTCAAATAATATAAATTTATTTGAGTTAATAAATATTGGTATTTAATTTCTTAGCTCACGTTCCTGCCTAAGTTGTAATTTTTCTTTTCTAAAAGTGTTGAAAAAATGCCTCCTATCAAAGAGACTACCTTATTCTTATTGCACCGTGTATAACACGAATAGAAAAATATACTTCAATGCGGTAGAAAAAGTAATAGAGATTATGTTATTATTTAGCGTTTTATTTTAATAAAAGTAATGCTAGTTATTCATAAAAAGGAAATACTTATAAATAACTAGGGCAGGAATCTGACTCTTTTGCTCCTGTAAAATATTAAATAAAATTTCTAGAAACGGATAAAAGGAAAATAATATTACACAAAAACTTACAATTTTGACGTATGTATTATTACAATTTTGACGTATGTATTTTATATATAGTTCTTGTTTAGTTTTTCTGTAGCTTTTACTTTTTGTTAATCCAGCTTTTCTTTATCCGAAAAAATGGCATCACTGCTGCTTAGTTTCACAAAGACTTATCGATACTCGTGAACTTTTGAACTTTGGTGTGACCACAAAGGATTTCGACTAGTTGGTATTTGGCCGAGCTGCGGTCTCACTAAACTCAACTTAATAACAAAAGACGAAATTACAATTTCTAAATTGACTAAAGAGCATATTATGGGAAATCGATTAGGTATCCAGTTGAGCAGTGACGACGAGGACGCTTTTGATGGTTCCGACAACGAGCTCGGCTTCAACGTGATCAATTTCACAGTAAACGCTTTGGATATGGAGCTGCGTACGCCCTGCTATCACTCAAACGAAATGCCTGTAATACGGAGCAAGCCAGATTTGGAGAAATTTCAGGTAATTATGAAATACCCCGCCCCTTCGACCAAGGACTAGTAACTCTGCTAACCATTTCTGTTGCAGGCCAGTGACATTTACAAGGAGATACGGGCCTCCAGCGGCCTGGCGAGCCTCCATCCGGACAATCGTTGGAACCTAGTGCGTGCCCTTCAGCAGCGGGAAAATGGGCTGGCCTCGCCCCATAGCGCTTCCTTCTCGAAGAATCAGCAGCGCTACATTTCCAATCTGTACATACCAAATAAAAAGTCGACGCGGCTGATGTCGCTTGACTCCAAAGTGTTTGTGACCAAGTTTAATCGCACTGGCAGCAAGCTGCTGACAGCCTGCCAAGGTCAGCATTTGGTTGTACTTCGGTTGTAGCACAGATGGTCTTGACAAAAATGTCTTATCCGTTGCAGATGGCTTTGTGCGAATCTACGACGGTGAAAAGGGCACATACCATCTTCTTAACCGCATACGGGCACGCGACGTCGAATGGAGCATCATCGACGCAGATTTCAGCCCTAATGGCCAGCACTTTGCTTACAGCACGTGGTCCCGTTCATGTAAGTGGCCGTCGTTTTTCCCCAATTGTGTATTTACCCCAGTTCTCTTTCAGTTTTCGTCATGCCCGTGAATGGCGGCGAAGATGACTGCCAGTGGATAGACGTGCACGGCCTGCCCAACCATCGTCTAGCCATATTCTCTCTGCGCTACTCGCCCACCGGAGACAAGATCGTCGGGGCCAGTAACAACGCCATGGTCATTGTGACCGATATACGCACGCGGTCTACCCAGATCCTGCGTACCCACCGCATGCCCGGCACCGATGTAAACTCGGTGTGCTTCCTGCATGACAAGGACCCAAATGTGATAATTGCCGGCTGCGACGACGGCTTACTCAAGGTGTTCGACCTGCGCACCACATTTCGCTCGCGCGAGTTCTCCAAATCGGTGGCCTCCTTCATAGGCCACTACGACGGTGTGACGTACATAGACTCACGCAACGACGGCTACCATGTGCTGTCCAATTCCAAAGACCAAAGTATCAAGATCTGGGACATGAGGAAGCCCAGTAATCTGCGCAACCGCAGCCGCGCCAGGCAGCAGCAGCTGGATCTCACCATGTGGGACTACCGCTGGAATCGAGTACCTCGCGAATGTACGTCTTAACTCTATGCAGTCTGGAAATTTCTCTGACATTCGATTTACATTGTATTGCAGTTTACAATCCTCATAAGCCGCTGGACGGAGACACAAGCATAATGACCTATCGCGGTCATCGAGTAACCAAAACCTTGTTGCGGGCGAAGTTCTCGCCGCTGGAGCAAACAGGCCAGCGCTACATTTACACAGGCTGTGCCACGGGACGTATTATAAGTAAGTTTCTAAATATAATTCAAAGTTTTCTCTTCATCATTGTATTGTCTATTTTACAGTTTACGATGTGTTAACTGGTAAGATAAAGGAGGCTATTGAAGGACATAGGAATGTGATAAGAGACCTGGACTGGCATCCAGAACGCGCAGAGATCGTGTCTGGTTCGGTAAGCTATCCTGATTAGTCTTCCAGTTGAATACCTTCTAATGAAAATATCATTCCATTTCTCCAGTGGGACACCCATGTTCATCTCAACAATTTCAGCCGCAGCAATGCCAATCGATCGGTGAAGCGAGCCCACAGCTCCGATCCGGATAAGAGGCCTTTGAGACGCTCACGCCGTCTGGCGAATCGCAATATGACGCCGGATTAGTAGTGTTAACGGTATTTTATTGCTTAGCTTGTAAGTTCCCCATTGATATTTCCCGTTAACATGGACAGAGTACATTACATTCATTCATACATGCTTGGACGAGGAGAATGAATATTATTCACCAGTCAGGCCACATGGTTCTATGAATAAGACTGAAGATGAATATGGCACAGCTTGAAGTGTAAAATTCAGTTTAATTATCTTGTTACACACACTTAAATGTAAACCATGAAGCTTACAAACTACCTTCTTAAGTTGTTTATGTACAAAACAAGGATAATAAGAGACACGTTGAATTATATTATGTTTGCCTAAACTAAATTGCTTGAAACGCAACTCTTTTCTTCACCGCGCGAATAGTTGTACGCTGCACGGCCTTTGGATATCGTAAGTTGTTAGTTTTCCGGTACTTGGTGGCTGCTCTATTGTGCCAGAGGTCTATAATGCGCTTTTCGTCATCTTGACTCTGCACCACCTTCAGCTCGACGTTCTCGTTGGTCGCGTAGCCCTCGATTTTACTCAACGTCGAGTTACAAAACGCACTCATATCGAACAGTTGGAATTTTTCTGCACAAAATTGAGAGATTATAAATGTATTGAATGATTTTAGTCTTTCGTTGATCTCTTCCAGTGATAAGAGGTCTTTTGGCAGCTCTTCATCGGCTGACTGATCACTTTTATCTCCGAAACTTCTACTGGCAGGACTTACATCTGTATCAATGGTATCGAAGGCTGGTTCTAGTTCAGGAGTGGCATCTTCGGGTACGGGCTCATCAACATGGGCCTTGGACTTCTTCTTTTTCTTTGAGGTTTTCTCGGTAGAATCGGCATCAGGTGAGTCTGTTTGTATGGTCTCTTCGGGTTTAATATTAGTTTTATCCTGCTTTGATTTTTTCTTCTTTTTAGGAGGGCTTTCCTTTTCTTCACTAACAACGTTTGTGTCTTGATTTTGAATTTCTTCGCATTTCTTAGACTTCTTTTTCTTTATTCTAACAAGTTCATCCATGACCTCCGATTCGTTTGTCCCATGATCATCTCTGGAGTTTGAATTGTCATCAATTAAAATTATTTCGGACTCTGTCCCCTCAGTTTTCTTAGACCTTTTCTTTTTGGGAGCGGGCTCGTCGACTATTTCGATAGTTTCAATCACTGTATCAGTAGTCTCTTCTTTCTTGTCTGCCTTATCCTTCTTATTTTTCTTTTTCTTTTTGACAATAGTTTCTTTATCTTCCGCAGGTTTGGGTTCCACGAAAGTTGCTTCCAGTTCTTCAGCCTCATCTGGAGAGGAGCGTTTCGATTTCTTCTTCTTCTTTTTGACAATAGTTTCTTCGCCTTCCACAGGGTCTACACAGGTTTCACCCACTCCTTTAGTTTCTTCTTGAGAACGCTCGGATTTCTTCTTTTTCTTCGGCTCAGTAATTTGAGGCTCAACTGTGCTTTCTGCGTTCCTCTTCTTTTTCTTTTTTATAGGCTCCTCTGAGACATTCTCGGCGTTGGGCTCTTCGACATCTACCTCGCTGCCGTTTACCTGAGCCTCACCAACCCTATTCTCTGGGGTTGATCCTATTTTAAGTTTGTTCTTTATGGCCTCCATTTTCTGTTTGAAATAATCGTTTACAGACAACCCTGTGCTTACTGTTTGAACGCCACCGAAATTGGGAGACACTGTCTGCTCTTCCTTCGGTTCTTCGATCACTACCGGCACTGCGATATCTTCGGTTGCCTTTTTGCCAAATATGTTGGCCAGGTCCTTTTCGCTGTACTGGGACAAGTCCTTGCCGCGTGTGAACTTCTGGTAATGAACTCGAGCCTTACTTTGCTTCGACCGCTGCTCTAGCGACATCCCACTTATGTCCTCCTTGAGCTTCTTTTTAGATGGCGGCTCCTCTGGATCATCGGCCTTGAAGCCAAATCCCATTGGTCTGGTTTCCTCTTCTGACTCCGATGCTTTGCCATTAGCCTCCTTATCGTCTTCGCCGCCGTTCAAAGACTTTAGTAGCCCATTGAACCCCTCCTCGTGCGTGGTCCACTGATCATCCTTTGCCTCGTAACCCAATCCCTCGGCGTCGTTTTTGAAGCGAATGCGAACAAAATCCTTTTCGCCATCCTGCCTGGCGCCCAGGCCATTGCCCTTGGACCAGCCCATCTTCTCCAGCATCTTGGTGCCAAAGCGGTTGTCATCTAAAAAGAATATTTTAGAAACAATGCCACAGCGTGTTTATTAATATTATACTTACCCTCGTACAGCGCCTTGCCGCGGGGGCACAGGTTGTACCGCTTGCGGCGTCGTGGTTCTGCCAACATAGCCATTTGTAATTATAATTATATTCCCGTAGGGCGTCGAAGTTTTTAGATATTAAATTATTTCTTAAATACAGTTTATAAAACGCGAGTGCATCCAACACGTGCTATCAGTTATCGATTGTCCAACAGCTGTTTCTTACATTGTTCGATAGTTCTATTGGATAAGAAAATCTGTGCAAAACTATCGAAATTTGAAATGCAATCGCCATCACTGCGAAAAAAGGCAACACATCTCTAGTTTGATTACTATTTGTTATTAGTTTTTAAATTAGCTTGTTGAGCGACTGATAATGGATATAAGCGCCGATGTGGATCGGATTATAGCCCAGGCGCCGGACTGGAATCTTGCCGGTGACTGTGACCTCCTGGCGCTGATGAAGCGCATTTCTGAGGTCCGTGCGAATGACTGACTAATTGCTTATCAACAAACCAATTTGGTTCAATTTTCCTTCCAGAACTTGTACGAGCGGGGTGAGCGAACCTCTCGCAATCTCCAGGAGTTTGAGACAAGTGTCCGACAAGTGGACATATCGCTGAGTAATGCCACCAACAGTCTGCGCTCCCTGCAGTTCGGCCACCAGTTCGTGGAGTATCGGGTGGAGGAGGTGGATGACGCCGATTTGGCTATGCCCGAGGAGAAGAAGAAGAAGGTGCAACAAGCCAATGAGTTTTGATGAGAACTTGTAATTACTGATCCAGTATATACTTGCAGCCTGATCCACCGCCCATGAGCTCCGAGGAAATGGCGAAGGGATTTCTGGACAACAATCTTCGAATGTTTAGAAAGAACTTTGAGCCGGTGACTATCGATGTGCCAGATTCGGATGACGAGGACGCGCCAGTCAGCTCGACGTACGTAGGACTAACACAATTTATTTATTGTTTCTAACTCGAATTATTGCTTACAGTACCGTTTTCCGAGCTAAGAATCCGTACGATGCTATTCCTCTGCCCTACATTATTGGAACGAAGGAATGGGAAGAGCACAAATACGCCGGTCTGTACGACAGCGGTGAGAATAGCGGGGATGACAAATCCGATGAGTTCTCATCAAGTTCCTCGGACGAAAAGGAGCCGGTATCCAAGGGAAGTACGCAGCCAGAGAACAAATTTGTGGAGCCCCATCTATCGGACTCCTCCTCGCTGGCCTCATATGCCAGAGAACCAGAGATTGTGTCACCTGTGAAAACTCATAATCCTGCTCCGGTTGTCACTTCGCCCGTGCCTCCTGCTCCGGCACCTGCTGGACAGGTACCGGAAGCTGCCATCCGCACGCAGCCGCGACCAATTATAAGCAGTCAACGCAATCCTCACGAGCGTGATATGTTTGCCGCGCTTAGACAGTCTCCACCCAGTGACGATCCACCCTCTACTTCATCCTCACCCACATCATCGCCAGCATTTAGAAATACCTCTGGTGGCCGCTTGCCCATAGCATCGACGGCATCGCTTAGTTCCAGCAGCAGCAGTCCCGCCCACCAACCGCCTCCGAGGCTTTTTGAAGACGTAGAAGCTGTAGTTCCCACACATCCTTCCAAGGAGATTGCGGCTAAGCCAGGTCAAATTAAGCGGAAGCCAGTAAACCTCTTCAACGACGATGAGTTTAACTCGTTTATGTCGGAAATTGTTGACAAAGTGCAGGCTAAGGCAGGTGCTGCAGAAACCAGCTCTGTGAGAGAACCACCAAAGGAAAAGAGGCCAACGGAACCAACTGCAAAGCAGGAGGCACCGCTCCAACGTAAAAATCCTGCTGTGGTCCCCCAAACAGTGCCCAGACGTGTTAATCTATTTGATGACAGTCCTCCGCTAAGTCCTTCTTCGAAGCCAAAGCCCTTCTCTAATAACGCTCCTTCCGTGGGTGGCATTCCAAAGCAGACACCGCCCAAAGAGGTCCAGGCGGATCAACCGAAAGCTTTTATTGCACCCAAAGAACCAGCAAAAACATTACCGAAATCTCTCTTTGATGATGATTTGGAAGACGATGACTTTTTGAGCTCCCTTGCACCTAAATCAAAGCCTGTAGATCAAAAACAAAGCTCAAAACCAAAAACCTCCCTATTCGATGATGATGACTTGGACATAAATGATATATTTACTAAGCCAACGTCGGCAAATACAAACAAACTCTCTGAGAGAGTGGCAGGAAAGACCAGTTTGTTCGACGACGATGATCAGGAAGATGATGCCGATTTATTTGGTTCCAAAAAGCCCCTAAAGGCTACACAAAGCGAATCAACAGTCAAAAAGGTTGAGCCTACAGAAACTCCAAAGAAAAGTCTTTTCGATGACATCGAGGAAGAGGATTTGTTTGGAACGCCAAAGGCAAGTGCCAGATATAATGAGTCCCAGGCACTAGAAACGGATGTTGAAATTAAAGAACAAAGCAAACATATTGAGATTGAACCAGAGACATTAAGAAAACAAGAAATTACTATTCAACAGGAGCAAGAATTATCAAATGCATCATCCCCACCAGTTTTTAGAGAATCACCTCCACCCATTGAGAGTTTTGAAGCGACTGAACAGGAAGAAAAGAACATTAATGGTGGTGAAACCCCACCCAAGCCACCAGCTAAACTTCCAAATTTATTCGTTGAAGACTTTAGTGATGAGGACCCTTTTCTGGAATCCTTAAATGTAACTACTAAGCCAAAAGGTGCTAGTGAAACTAATGAATTTATTAAGACCGTAGTGAAAAGTGATGAAAAAATAAAAGAAGTAGATAAATCACCCGCAGAAACATTGCGTAAATCTTCAAATAAACATTCAGATTTGTTCAGTGAAGATTCCAGCGATGACGATCGTTTGTTGAGTATATCATCCAAAGCTAAGGATGTGCCATTGGGTGAAAAAGACACCATGAAATTAATTAAGACAGACGAAGACCACTTGGAAGAGATTAAGCCAAACAAAGATCAGTTGGTTGAAGAGATTTATCCAAAAGAGCTACCTCATAAACTGCCACAGGAAGTCCTGCCAGAGAACAAAATAGATGATGAACTAAACGTCATGACAAGAGCTAGCGCAGAAGTGGTTGTGCCAGTTTCTGAGACACCTCCTCCAGATGATCACCAAAGCCACCAGGATCCCATTATAAAAATGGTAGCCGATATCACCAATAAGTCCCCCAAAGATGATGCGTCTAAAAGAAAGCCAGCAGATCTGGCTGCCGCCCAGCAAATCATGCAAAACTATTCGAGCCTCTTCTCAGATGAGCCACCCGATGATAGCGAGTTTTTCCAAACTCTCGGCAGCAGCAGCAGCGGTCTCAGCAGTCTAAGTGCTTCGAAAATCTTTGACAACGAACATGATTTCTTTGAGCCTGCCTTGCCCAAGATTCCCAGTGCCACAAAGTCATCTGCTGCGACGCCAGGAGACCAACCTTCAGCAACATCGGATTACGGAGGCATTCGTCTATTTAGTGATGTTCCACCCGAAGACGAGGATGATATCGATGAGCTAAGCTCATCAGCTGTCAAGCAGCCCGAGGATGTTGCACCACCCACTACAACCCGTATACATACAATTTTCTACGATGACTTCAGTGAAACTGCAAGAGCAGGATCCATTGAACCGTCGCACCAACCTTCTTCTTACGACGAGGAGCCACCACCGTCAGGAGATGAACTTGATCGCAGCAAAGCCAAGGAGACACTGGACTCACAAAATCGATCGTCACCCATCAAGAAACTAAAAATGCCCAACATCAACATCAATGTGCAGGCCCTGCTTCCTGGCTCAGGTGGAGGTCTTCCAAAATTGCTTAAGAAGCAGGATTTATCGAGCTTTGAAGAGCGTCATCCAGCGGAATCCTCTCAAAGAGTAACGTCTCCAGAGTCTATCAGAAAACCCACAAATATACAACCTGCAGAGGGGGGCTTGCAGCATGTAAATAAAACACGGGCTCGAGGGCCTGCCAAGAGAAGACCGTCAACCAGAAAGGGAAGGCAGGAGAACTACGTTAAAAGCTTGATCGAAGATGAGCAAAAACCACCACATGCCGCTTTGACACAGGTACAGCCCTCTGTGGAGTCCTTTCTGGAAAGCCCCGACAATGAATCCCAGCCTCTTCCCTTCTCTAAGCCGGTTGCAGTTGGGGAGGTGAGTGCTCCTCCATCTACCGTTTCAGCTTCCAGACAAAAAGTGAGTCCGCCCAAGGCAAAGAACTCATTTTTAGATAGTCCTGATGATGATGACTCCCTTTTTGGTCCTGTCACAACAAAAACCGTATCTTCTGCAAAGCAAAATGCCGGAATAATGCCTGTAACTGCAACACCTGTGTCAGCTGCGCTGACACCGAATAAACCACCAGAGGATCGTAGACAATCAGTCATCCCCAGAAAGAATAATGATCCACCCGCGTCATATCGTTCGTTTTTGGACAGTCCTGACGAGGATGATTCCCTTTTCAGTTCTGCTGATAAAAATACGACATCTGTTTCAAAGAATTCTGCAGCAGATAAAAAATGACACTCCCGAATGATACTCCTCAGGTGCAACAAGAGGCGGAAAAGACTTTGATTCCACCAAAGGTGGCTAACACATTTTTGGACAGCTCAGATGATGATGATTTCCTGTTTAGTCCAGCCAAGACACCTATTGCGCAATCTAAATCTATAGTTCCTGTTCAAGAGAAGCATCGTGATACCGCTGTACCAGCTTCTTCAATGCTCCCTAGAACCGAAGAGCCTTCCAAAGAACAGATTAAGCCCAAGGCACAAGCTGTTCCTAAACTCTTTGATGACAGCGACGATGATGATGATCTGTTTGCAAGTGCAGCGGTGCCTGCTCCTCTTCCTTCCTCCAGCAGGCCAGTTCAAGCTAAGCAGCCACCGAAACCGGCTGCAAGTTCTCTGTTTAGCAGCGACGAGGATGATGCAAAGGCGCCAGATAATACGCTCCCAAAGAAGAAGTTGCCCATAAAACCAGCAAAAAGCCTCTTCAGCGACGATGACGACGACGATGATGATTTGTTTGGAGGAGGCGGCATACGCAAAGCCAGCACAGCCAGACAAGCACAGAAGACGAAACCCAAAGCCCAGACTGTATCAAAACCGGCTGCGAGTAAAACTCCCACGGCCACAGCCACCATTCCCGATAGTATCAGCGATAATCCCTTGGCGGATCTTCTCGATGTTGAGTAAAAACACATGATTGCCTTTAATATCAAATATTTACAGTAGTCGATCTCTGGATGGTTAGACTGTCGACCAGAGTATTGTTATTCGTATCCCTAGAAACTATATAAAATAAAACGATGAATGTATCAGTGTCGATAAGTGGTCGATTCTTAATTCTAAACATGGACATATGCCAGTGACTCTGTCCTCTCTTCTAACGGAATAACCATTAATTTTGAGACCCGATCACGAGATTAGTATTTCCCCAAAGCGGTATGTGAATTCTCCCAGTTAAACGTTAGTCTACGAACTGAAACTGAGTTAGTTTGTGGCTCTTTGGTCGTTATTCCGAGGAATCTCATTCTAAATCGAGCATCTCTTACATGTAGTGTGTTAACCTAAGCGCTGACTGATATTCTACTTCGGATCCGGGCCCCGGGAGTGGCTCAGAGTGCAACGTCGCGATACTTTCGGTAGTCGTCGGACTCATTGCCCAGTGACAGTTTGCTGTTGGCCGTGATGTACGGATTGGCATAGTTGGCGTAGCCAAAGCCTCCGTAATACTGCAGCTGTTGGCTGTGGGCAGAGCCACGTCGCTGGAGCGGTTGTGCTAGCACAGTACCGGCGAATCCTCCCGTGGAACTGCAATTGGATGGCCTCCGGTAGATGCCACCAGCCTGTTGGTGTAGCATGTGTTGCTGCTGCTGCTGATGGAGCAGCATAGCCAGGTAGTACTGCTGCTGCTGCGTGTAATTCTGGAGCAGATTATTTCCATAGGCGTTCAGGTCATTCTGCACCTTGCTGATCCCGTCCAGATTCTCCAGGGACACACAGTTCCGGGAGAGCTTGCCCGGCGGGGGTTGCTTGTGGCTGCCCCGAGGGCGATGGTGGTTCCTCTGCTGAGCGGGTGGTGGTGTCAACTGCTTGGGCTCGATGGAGCAGTATATGGGATCGTTGCTAGTCGAACCGATTAGGGAAGGCGGCGAGGGTCGGTGGGAGTCCTGCAGATTGTTCTTCAGATCATCAATGGTTATGTTAAAGTACTTGGCATTCTTGTCCTCTGTATCCAGGACATGTCGGGGATTGTACATTCCCGGCAGTGTGCAGCGCAGATCCATCAGAGACTGGGCTCGGTGACCACCCGGTGCTGCTCCAGACCCACCCCGTTGCATCATCGTAGCGTTATTAAACTGCTGCGCCAAAGCTGGCGCAAACATGCTGGCATTGAACTCGTTCTGGGAGCCGAACGCTTGACTACCGCCACACTGGTTATTTAGTCCCAAACCTGGACCGAGGGGCAACTTGTTGCCCCCAGTCTCGTCGCACAGCTGGTAGCCGGCATTCTCGAATCCACTCATACGCTGACTGGAGCGCCGGGAGTCTGCCTTGGTCATTGGGACACTGGGAGCGGGCGTTTGTAGGGATAGCCGGGTGGCCAGTCCCTGCAACTGGCTGAGAACCTGGGTCTCACGTCGCCACCGAATGCCCGTGGGAATTACGCAAATCAATGCAAAGCAGTTGATGATCAGGCGAATCAGGTAAGAAGTCAGCTCCGTCAAGCCATGCACCGACTGTAAGCCCTAGAAGAGGATTGAAATAATTCAAAAAGTTAAGAAAACTGATGCTCCATGAATTTTGCGTTAAGATTCTGTAGTCTATTAAACTTACCCAGTGCTGCGTGGTCATGAGCATTACAAAGACCAGCTCCGGGATGGACAGCAGCCCGATGATGCCCGACCAGGCAAACAGGGGCCAGCACAGCCCGCTGACCAGGCCGTGGATGAGGATCGTGGTCGCTACGAACATCACGAAGTAAAGCGAGCACAAGGTGTATGCGGCAAAGGGCAGTTCCCCATGGGCCTCCAGTATCCAAGAAACTTCGCATGAGAAGGCCCCCAGATACACGATCTGTGGAGTGGGAAGAGTAGGAAAAGAAATGGAAATTAGCCGAGTTTCGCAAAGAAAAGCGAAAACATAAATCAGGCAATGGCAGACAAGCAATGGGTAGGAATGCATACGAAAAACAAACCGGAGACAACTGTGCTCCGCAACCATCCATCAATCAATTAATGAGCTCCCATCTCTCCGCCACCCCCTCAACGACCGACTGGCCTGTCAACTTGGCTGGTAACAAAAAACGATGAAGTTTTTACATCTGGCACGATGAGCAAAAAACGATTTCATTTCATTTTCACTTAATGGAGCAAATACGTTTTCACACTGATAACGGTAACGGACGGACAGTGGGACACTCGGACGGAGAGAGAGAAGATACAGAGATCTTCGTGTGGAGGAGATATGATGTACATATATGACGGACATACTCGAATATTGAATATCACCGGAGGCAATCGAGCTACTTACCAGCAGAAGAACTGCCACCACACAGCAGATAATGAATAGATTTGCCTTTATGAAGCGCTCCATAATGCGTTCGTTCCAAAAGTTTTGTATGCTATTGCCGTTGCCCGGCGGCCGCTTCTTCAATGAGGACGGCGACTGCTTTTCACTGGTCTTTTGATAATTCATTATTCGTGTTTCGGTTTCGGTTGCGGTTGCGGTTCCGATTGCCGTTGCGATTGCGGTTGCGATGTTTGTCCAAGACGGTGGAAGGAAGATATGTGTGTTCAGACAGGTGTGAGTGCGGTTTTCAGAGAGAAATTATGCTGGCTAGCGGGAGGATGGTGTGGCCGGTGGCCTTGGTTCCCCTTTCCGGAGGAGGTCAGTGGTGCGTGTGAGGCGATGCGATGCGATGAGATGTGGAGTTCTAGTTCTTGGTTTATGTTTGAATGGGTTTCGAGTCCAGACCGCGCTCTTGTGGGTTGAATGAAAGCGTTAAGCGGCCTAATTGAGCCGTGTCATGCTAGGCTGATGCTGAAATGAGAATCCGAATGAGTGCCAAGCTTCGCCGATGAGTCCAGTTCGATACCCAAACAAAAGACTTAGGCAACGAACTTGTTTTGGATGCTACACATACTACGAACGGAGCAAGCAGAGAAGCACATCCACACAGCGTATCTAACACTGGGCTAACGGCTTGTTCCATATTATTAAGAAGATTTTCACTTTTCTACAACAAAAACCAAGTCAGTTCGTTGGCCAAGTCTGTTGTTTGGCCACAAGCCCCGCATTTATGAAGCAAATATTTGACTCTAAACAAACAGTGGAGCGTGCGCTATGTTAGACAGTAGAAGAGGAAGCTTCTGGTTAAATACCTGACACTGTTTAACTGATGTCAGTTACCTACTGCCTTATGTCATGATAAATGAATTCGCCAGCCTGGCAATTCCCAAATCAATTAATCAATTACACCGAGCTACAAAATAATGAAGTGCTTCACCCCTTGCAGGGTATTATAACTGTAGTTAGAAGCTTATAAAGTTGTGAAGGAGTCACTTCCGACCCCATATATCATATATATTCTTGATCAGAATTAACAGGCGAATCGATCTAGCTATGTCTGGCTAAAATTTATTTTTTTCAAAATTTTGAAAATTTTATAAGGGGTTACATCGTTAAAATTGTCAAAAATTGATAAAAATTTAAATCTTTTTAAATTCCAAACGTAGTATGCAGATTTATTAACCTTATAAAAACTAACATAGAACAGCTTTCCGAAATAAAATAATAATAATGGATTTTTAGCTTAGTTATGAGTTTTTTAAACTTTGATTTTTCGAACATTTTAATATAAAAATATTTCTAAATATCGAATATTTGAAGCTTAGTTACAATCGATTTCCGATTCGATCTTATAATTGAATTGCTAAACTTGTTTTTCAACTACTACTTTATACATTTATACATTTTAAACTCTTCTTCCTCAATACACACATGGCGTATACTTAATTTAAGGGTTTTCAAGTTACGTATACGCCATGTATGCTAGATATACCTTAAATCGAAGAACCTTTTTAGGGTATTATAATTTCAGTCGAAAGCTTGTAACGCACTGAAGGAGTCATTTCCGACTATATAAATCATATATATTCTTGATCAGGATTAATAACTGAATCGATCTAGCCATATATGGTAAAATAAATTTTGAAAATTTTTTCAATTTTTTGAAAAAACGATAAGGGGTTACATCATTAAAATTTCCAAAAATTTAAATATTTTTAAACTCCAAATGTAGTATGCAGATTTATTAACCTAATAAAAACTAACATAGGACAGCTTTCCGAATTGAAATTAATTGATTTTTAGCCTAGTTGTGATATTTTTAAATTTTGATTCGTGGAAAACGCAGTCAAGACAAGGAAAAACTGGAAAAATAAACAGACAAGACATAATCAAATATTCTTAATAAGGAAATAAATTTATAAAATGATTATTTTCATTCAAAAGATACAACAAGCTCAAATTTCACAAAGAAGTGCTCACAAAGAGGCTTTCGGGGCCACTCGGGTTGACAAACCCGGCCAATTATACCCTAAGGCTGTGTTGCCGAGTGTAAACAATTGAGACGCCTCGCCAACACATCACTCAGAGCCCAGTTAGCCGCTTAGTCGGATACGGCAATCTGCCCATAACAGACGGCGTCATCAAAATAGAGGCGACGAACTTGCTGTCAATGCCGTCAGCACGCAGGTGCGCCGGCTCATCATTCTCTTCTGCTCATCGCGGTCTGCGCTAATCCCCCTCGCGTGCGTCTGTGTGGAGGCGTCTCCTCCACTTGGCGGGCATGGGTTGGGTGCTCCCCAAAAAGGAGCGACGCAACGCTACGCGCCGGATATGCGCACCTTAAAGTGTCAAGCGGTGACTTGCCCCATTGACATTCCTACAACGTTGCAAGTTAGTCTCACAAGAGACCCCCTAAGCTTGGGCTCTTTCCTGTCCCGCTTTTGGCTTTCTTTTCGCTGGCCGGAAAGAATTGCAAGTCAACTTCGTTTTTATTGCTAATTAGCTGGACAAACTGATTCTCGCTGGGCTGTCCGGTTTTTCGGGGGCAGAGCTCTGTCTCTGTCCAGTGTTGAAACGAGTTTCGGCGGGGTTCGAAAGAGACTGCTCTCAGCAATTAGCATCCGTTGCCGGGAAAAAGGTGGCAAGCGAATTCGCAGCGCCCTTGAGTGAATGCCACACCCATGCGGATACCCAGCGAGATGGTTACGAAATTATGCAGATCCAGCATAATCTTTGTGAACCTCGTGTGACCGAAAAATGCGAGCAGCATTTCAAAATATTTCTCTGTTTTTTTTTCTGTTTTTTGCATTGTATTCCCCTACACCGCTGCGGGCAATTAAATTAATTTAATTTCGTTATTGTTGGTCGTATTTATGCATTCGCTGTGTGTCTGCATGACGAGTTCAATAGCATAAGTGCAACAATGGACGCGGGCAGGGGCAGTGTGAATGCATGAATAAACACAACAATGCAGCGGTGGGGCAGTTATGCAAATTGTTGTTATGAAGTCGCTGTAAATCGGAATGGAATCGAAATGAATAGCCCAATGCGTTACCGTTACAGTTATGCTGTGCGTTTCAAAATGCAATCATCTATCAGGCATATGTATCGATGCGATGTAAAGCCTACCTTTCACTTCGCATTATTACTTTAATTTTTGTTATGGCAAGCAGTTACACTAGGCAGAAGAGGAGATACCAAAAAATAAATAATAAGTGAACAATAAGCGCGGATCGTAGAAATTATCAGTCAAGCAAGAAACGATTTCTCAGCGGCGACGACGCACACTCACACGCGTACGACCAAATTGTTCAGCGTTGAGTCATGCCGCCAGTATAGGTATATATGTATGTACATATATATGTTGTAGGAACGGCTCTCGAAATTGTCGCTCATGCAAATTGCGTCGCCCGACTTCGAGGGAAGCTTTTATGGGCCATATAACACACACCACACACAACAACAACACCGCCGAGTGGCAGTTCTTGGCACTTTTACTGCTCGCACAAATTGAATAGAGCCGGAGAACTCGTTTGAATCATCGCGCAAAAGCGAAATGCGCTCCGTCCACAATTATGCTTTGATTGTTATTTAATTGTACAACGGTTAGGCCACAAGCAGAGGCAGAAGCACCAGCACCAGCACCAGGTCAAGTCATCAAGTCAAAGTTGACGAACGTGAGAATGCCTGTCTTTGGGTCACTCACTCACTCGCACTCGTGAAAAAGCCGTAACATACGCCGCGGTAACGGTACGCTTCAAGTTGGCGCGCTTACAAACAGTTAAAAGTGAAATTCGAATGACTGAGGAAACGAACTGCGTTCGCCGAACGATCTCTGCGAGCACCGCGCCAGCTGAGCGAGCGCTACGACGTCTGTTTGGCAACTGAAGAGCGCTTCCAGCCGGGAGTCTCGAGCCAAGCTCGAGCTCTGGCCTGGCTCTGTCGTTTTGTTGTTTGTTGATTTACATTTTTCTGTGCCTGGGTTTCGTTTATTTTCGCTGCCGTGCAGCAAGTTGACTCGCCCTGCCTCCTGTTTCAACAATTAAATCTTAATTTCTAACTGCCAATGATGCTCTCTGTGACTGTGTGCGGGGGAACCCTGCCATTTGCATAATTTGACGGCAAACGGGGGACCACAAAAAGCAACAACAAAATAAACAAAGGCCAGACAAAAATGAGGCCTAACGGTCATACTTTTGTTTGGGCCAGCTTTTGCGCCTGATAACAAATGGTTTTGGCCGCTGCGGCAGCAGCTGCTTGTTCTAATTAAAGCTCACCGGGGTTTCTTTTCTCTTTATCTCGTTTTGTTTATTCAAAATTCAATTTGTGAGTGTTGTTTCTTTACTAGCTATTGTGCCACTGATATATGTGTGTATCTTTGTGTGTAATTCTTTCGTTTGTTTTCCCATTTCTTTAGGGTTAATTAAATTAATATATGGAATTCAAATGACAACATAAATTGGATTCAATTCCACTCAGTCTCTAGCTATCTAAGAGTAACAAAATCAGTTAGGTTCCATGGCCTTTAAATGCCTAGCTAAAAGCTAATAGCTTCAGGATTGTTTTTGGGCAATTTCAAATGCGTGTAAAACTAATTTTTGACAAAAACATTTCAATTATGCTTCCTCCTCGACAGCGGCTGCAGCAGCTCCATTATGTTCAGGCTGTTCAGCGGGAGCGCAGTTGTCCAGCACTACGCCAAGCTGTCCTATGCGTTTAATCTGTTCCATTAAATCGGCGATCTCGGGTGTGCAGTTTCGGAACTTCCTAAGAAAGGTGTAGCCACGCAGCATCTCGTTGTCCAGCACGCATCTGAGAAAGGGGATTTTTTTAGCCTTTGCTTTAACTATGAAGCATAAATTTCACTTACATTAGGGCCGCCGCTGCGTAGTTGCCTGTCCCCTCCAGTTGTTCTAGCCAACGGTTAATAATGGTTTTTATTATCGGATCTGTGGCTGGCAAGCAAATTCGGGCATGCACTAGGGCCTCCTTATAATACTCATTGGCCAGGAATAGCTCGATGGCTTCCTTCTGCAATCCCAGGCTAAGGAGGTACGTGGCTGCGTGCATTATGTAGCCCTTTTCCTCCATCTGCTTGGCATAGACGCGGCAGCAGTCTTGCCAGAGTCTGGAAATAGATAGCGTAACTAGTGAATGCAGCGATCGGATATTAAGAGATAAGAACTTACGCAAATGACACCGAAGGAGCTACGGATAGATGCCACTCCGTGAGCGTCTTGTTGGCCATATGTTCCTCCAGTTCCTCACGCAGCTTGAACGTGGATATGAATAGGGAAAGGGGAGCTATGTCCTTCGTGTTTGACTGCTTGAGGTTGTTCACTGAAATATGATTTCAAAAGACCGTAGAATTAAAGAAGGAAGTCATTTCTATAAATTCAACTTACATTCTATGGAAATAAGCTTTTTGGCCGTCACTTTGGTACTAAATAGCTTGGACATAAGCACTGATTTGTCGATCTTAGCCGCATCCTCGGTCAGCACAATGGCCAGCTTCTCAAGGGCGCTCTTGTTGAGTTCCTTTCCGGCGAGGTAGAGACAGGTGCGGGAATGCTGTGGGTTAATAAATTATTAATCTTATCTCACAATGCAGTGGTTCCCACTCTAAACTTACAATAAGCAAACTTTCAGGCGGGTTATTAGACTCCAATTCCTTGCACTTCAAGCACTCCTTTGTTGTAGTCACATTCTGCTTTTTGTCCAGGCTAAGGGATTTCATCATGTCTTCCACAGGAGTCTCATGGTCTGGTGAATCCGTAGTTGGGCTTTCCTTTGCTGGTGCATCTGTCTCCTTAGCCATCTCCGTCTCCTTGTTGAACGCTACAGCTTCCTTTCTAACTTCCTCTCTGCGTTGATTTCGCCGCTGTCGCTTCTTTTCCGTCCTGGTAAGAACCGGAGCATAGGGCATATTTAGGGACTTGGAGGCCCACTTAACCTTAAGCAACGCATCCACCTTGGAGCAAATGGTTATTTCATTTTCGGCCAAAGCACTTTTGATGTCAATCAGTTCCAAAGAGATCGCCTTTCCCGAACACATGATGATGTTCTCGTTGGAGGGAAAAAACATGCCGCACCACATGGGGCAGTGGTATGTGATGGTAAGTGGTGGTTTCTCTGGCTCATTAGTGTTCCACATATACACCTTGCCTTCGATGTGGAAGGAGAGCAGGATGTTGATTTTGCTGTGACTCCAACGCAGAGAAGTTACAGACGCTTTGTCTGTCTTTGCCGTGAAAGTGTGCTGAGTTGTCCAGTTGCGGTCCTCCGGTTGGAACTTCATTATGTATATAAATTTGTCATTGCCGGCCACTGCGAATTTATTATTGTCCACGGGATTCCAGACAATATCGCACACATAACGTGACAGCAAGGCCGATTGGCGAATAAACGGAGTCCAGGCCTGGCCGGATCCACCGATGCGTTCATGGAGCTGCAACATACCATCATCAGTGCCAACAAAAAGAAACGATCCACGAACGCTGAGGTAGCTTGGCCGAGAGATGTGGCTTAGCATATAAGGATCTGTTAAAGCAATTAAATAAAAGGAATCCACGTTAAAAACTAGAATTAATTAAGCTTATAAAAGTACAAAGATCTTGAAATACAGAGCCCATTGTCTTTTAATTTAGTTTTAAAACTAATTGTGGGACAATTTCAATTGTGGACCTAAATGATTAACCCAATGAGCCCACCAACGTTGACCTTGCATTTTACAAAGAGGAAAGCTCTCACGTAGGTTAGTAATTGGTAACCAGCGGCAACCAAAAATAACAAATCAGTCAGTACCATAGCTTTTACAGTCGTGTTTGCCCCTGAAATAAATTATTTGTCCGTTTTTTTGCTAACAAATTGTTAAAATGCCGAGACACAGGACACTGGTGGACATTAGCCATCGCATTATGAAGCGTTTTCAGCAACTGGACCTGGATGTGGGCGAGGAGTTCATCGTCTTCGCAGTGCACCTGCTGGCCAGAGATTCACGTCGGGGTCTGCTTAAATCAGACCTGGAGAAACCCACAGCCTGTGTCATTAGCACGTTTGAGAATCGCATTGTGGATGGCTACGTAGATCCCAAGGATTCCACCATGGCGAATATGAAGATGGCGTGGGTGATGAAAAAGGGCCAGGCCATCGATTTGCAGTACGTGAAAAAGCAATATGAGGATAAGTTTCAGAGGGAGCTGGAGCTGCTCATAAATGATATTCTTCAGTATCCGGAAACCTGCAGCAAATTGCAGCTGGATCAGCTCTTCGCCAAGATGCAGGTTTTCATCGTGGCCTGCTATAACTTGGGCTCGCCCAAGAATCACGTGCTGCTCAAGCTTACGGCTCAGGCCCTGAACAGCGTCATCGGCCGAAGTGATTTGCAGAACTATGTCTTGAAGAAGAAATACCATCGACTGGAGTACTTGCAGCGATTGGCAGCAACGGTGGGTGGCATCGTGATCTACAACAACGATGGCCCAGATGGGGATCGGGAAAACGTGAGAAGTGGTAAGTTAATGAACTTCTTACAGGACATTTTGCAATTTTAAATAATTATATGGAGTTTTATATGGTCTTTGTTGTCTGTCCCTGATCTTGATCTATTCAAGAGTTGGGCTTGCATCCTTCCACTTAAAGCGATAAATAATGAACTAATAATTAATATATTTTAGTGGTTGATGATCTTGCAATGGCCCTAAAGAACACAGATGCCGCCTTCACAGCCAGTTTGAAGCATTCAGTCGACATGCGTACCATGTGCCAAACGGCCGTCGCTGAGCTGATTCATATTGATCACAAGGACGAGACCCTCACCTACCGAGTGCCATTGGAACACATGGATCGTCTGAATCAGTTCACCTTGACCTTTTTCATGCTGCATCGTTGCCTGACCACGCTGCACGAGAGCTTCCAGAGCACTATGTACCTGATCGAGGTGGAGCAGAAGCGCTACAACTGCGTGGTGGCCAAGATAAATGACGCACTCTCCATGCGCACCGCCATTGATTCAGAACTGATCTTCGTAAGTGAACTATATTTTGTATAATTCGCTTTAATCTTTAACCTTTAATCCCATTCCTTAGCCGCACTTTGTGTACTTGTCCCAGGTGTGGGGCAATCTCAACAACTATTTTTGCCACATTGTCGAGTTGAACAAACTGAGGGAGCAGGTGGAGGCGCTGGTTGTCGAAGATTTTACGACCGCGGCCAAGGATACCATTGCCGAATTGCAAGCTCTCAATAAGCGCATTAAAAAGCCAAAGATATGCGCTTTTGAGGAGAGAATGGAGGCCGTAAAGGAACTACACACCGATGGAAACTTTTGCAACCTGGCCAAGGCGGACATAAAGGAGTTCTGCTCCTTAGCTCTGACTGTAACCAATGGCTTGCTGCTGCCGGCACAGGTGACCAGGAAACTGTGCTCCAATGTGGATATAACCTTTGGCTTTCGGGAACTGAAATTCACAAGGTTTGCTGAGCTTCGCTTCGAACCATTCATCGCCGCACTTCGGAAGGTTATTTTCAACAGTGCCAACCTAGCGCTGCTTTTCAAGCTGGATGATGATCTCATAGCCCAGGAGATACAGGACCTGATCGTCGAGCCTCCAAAACATAGTGATTTCAATGGTCAAACGGAAATGGTCATCACTAACGACCTGTCGCCGTCCAACTGGATCAATGTCACGTGGAATGCATGGGACTACCATAGGGAGACCATTCACTTGGCCAACATCCGCAAGCGGCAGACCCACGACACGCAGACCAAGGTCAGCTACGGGCAGCGAAACGCCCAGAATCAAGCCTACAACGCTCGACAGCACATGTGATGAATAGGATTCAAACTTACCACCATTTGATTTGTCCAAGTCGAAGACGCCGAGCTGACGATTCACGATGAAGTAGATGTAGTGGTCCTGCCAGACCAGGGAATATACTTCCTTCTTTTGCGACGTCTTCAGAACGGTCTTAATCTTCATGGATTCCACATTAATGATGCCCACCTATTTTTCGCGTTTGATTTATATTTGGTTAGACTCCGAGGTACTTGTAGTTAATAAAGAAGCTTACGGTTCCATCAAAGGTGCCAAAGGCCAGTTGCAAACAGTCGGGACTCCAGGCCAGGGTGTACACATTACTGTTGACAAACACGCTATCGATGGGAAGGCAGCTGGTAGAGAGCTTGGAAATGTCAAAGATGGCAATGCGGCGGTCGGAGCATCCCAAAGCGATCCTACACGAAAAAGATAACTAGTTTTAGAAAAGAATTAAAAACAAGGACAAGTTTTCACACATCATAATTAAGCCAAAATAGCAATAATTTTGATTAGGAAAACTTTTCTGTACCAGTTTTTATAGCACTAACAAATCTGCATACTGCGTTTGTTGATGCTGTTATAAGTTTCCGAATAAAATTATACAAACCAGCAAAAAGGTATAAAATCAGATAACTATTTCCTAAAATCTTATTTTAAAAAACTCATAACTAAGCCAAAGTTTTTCGGACATCATAATTAAGCCGAAATTGCATTAATTTTAATTCGGAAAGCTCTTCTGTACTAGTTTTTATTGCACTAACAAATCTGCATACTGCTTTTGTTGATGCCGTTGTCAGTTTTTGACTAAAATCATAAAAACCGGCAAAAAGGTATAAAAACAGACAATTTTTCCCAAAAATCATAGTTTTAGAAAACTCATAACTAAGCCAAAAAATCATTCATTTTAATTCGGAAAGCTGTTCTATGCTAGTTTTTAGTGGATTAACAAAGCTGCATACCCAGTTTTCAAATTTAATAAATTCAATTTTTTGTCAAATTTTGGCAATTTTAATGATGTAACTACAAAATTTTCAATTTTCGGAAATATGTCAAAAATTTATTTTTTGACCAGACATGGCCAGAACGACTGGGCTGTTGATGCTGATCAAGAATATATATGGTTTATAGGGTCGGAAACGACTCCTTCACTGCGTTGCAAGCTTCTGACTTAAATTATATTCTTCAAAAAGGTATAAAAACAGATCATTTTTTAACAAAATCAAAGTTTTTCGGACATCATAATTAAGCCGAAATTGCATTCATTTTAATTCGGAAAACTCTTCTGTGCTAGTTTTTATTGCACTAACAAATCTGCATACTGCTTTTGTTGATGCTGTTGTCAGTTTTTGACTAAAATCATAAAAACCGGCAAAAAGGTATAAAAACAGACAATTTTTCCCAAAAATCATAGTTTTAGAAAACTCATAACTAAGCCAAAATATCATTCATTTTAATTCGGAAAGCTGTTCTATGCTAGTTTTTAATGGATTAACAAAGCTGCATACCCAGTTTTCAAATTTAATAAATTCAATTTTTTGTCAAATTTTGGCAATTTTAATGATGTAACCCCTTACAAAATTTTCAATTTTCGGAAAAATGTCAAAAATTTATTTTTTGACCAGACATGGCCAGAACGACTGGGCTGTTGATGCTGATCAAGAATATATATGGTTTATAGGGTCGGAAACGACTCCTTCACTGCGTTGCAAGCTTCTGACTTAAATTATATTCTTCAAAAAGGTATAAAAACAGATCATTTTTAACAAAATCAAAGTTTTTCGGACATCATAATTAAGCCGAAATTGCACTCATTTTAATTCGGAAAGCTCTTCTGTGCTAGTTTTTATTGCACTAACAAATCTGCATACTGCTTTTGTTGATGCTGTTGTCAGTTTTTGACTAAAATCATAAAAACCGGCAAAAAGGTATAAAAACAGACAATTTTTCCCAAAAATCATAGTTTTAGAAAACTCATAACTAAGCCAAAAAATCATTCATTTTAATTCGGAAAGCTGTTCTTTGCTAGTTTTTAGTGGATTAACAAAGCTGCATACCCAGTTTTCAAATTTAATAAATTCAATTTTTGTCAAATTTTGGCAATTTTAATGATGTAACCCTTACAAAATTTAATTTTCGGAAATATGTCAAAAATTTATTTTTTGACCAGACATGGCCAGAACGACTGGGCTGTTGATGCTGATCAAGAATATATATGGTTTATAGGGTCGGAAACGACTCCTTCACTGCGTTGCAAGCTTCTGACTTAAATTATATTCTTCAAAAAGGTATAAAAACAGATCATTTTTTAACAAAATCAAAGTTTTTCGGACATCATAATTAAGCCGAAATTGCATTCATTTTAATTCGGAAAGCTCTTCTGTGCTAGTTTTTATTGCACTAACAAATCTGCATACTGCTTTTGTTGATGCTGTTGTCAGTTTTTGACTAAAATCATAAAAACCGGCAAAAAGGTATAAAAACAGACAATTTTTCCCAAAAATCATAGTTTTAGAAAACTCATAACTAAGCCAAAAAATCATTCATTTTAATTCGGAAAGCTGTTCTATGCTAGTTTTTAGTGGATTAACAAAGCTGCATACCCAGTTTTCAAATTTAATAAATTCAATTTTTTGTCAAATTTTGGCCATTTTAATGATGTAACCCCTTACAAAATTTTCAATTTTCGGAAAAATGTCAAAAATTTATTTTTTGACCAGACATGGCCAGAACGACTGGGCTGTTGATGCTGATCAAGAATATATATGGTTTATAGGGTCGGAAACGACTCCTTCACTGCGTTGCAAGCTTCTGACTTAAATTATATTCTTCAAAAAGGTATAAAAACAGATCATATTTTAACAAAATCAAAGTTTTTCGGACATCTTAATTAAGCCGAAATTGCATTCATTTTAATTCGGAAAGCTCTTCTGTGCTAGTTTTTATTGCACTAACAAATCTGCATACTGCTTTTGTTGATGCTGTTGTCAGTTTTTGACTAAAATCATAAAAACCGGCAAAAAGGTATAAAAACAGACAATTTTTCCCAAAAATCATAGTTTTAGAAAACTCATAACTAAGCCAAAAACTCATTCATTTTGATTCGGAAAGCTGTTCTATGCTAGTTTTTAGTAGATTCACAAAGCTGCATACCCAGTTTTCAAATTTAATAAATTCAATTTTTTGTCAAATTTTGGCAATTTTAATGATTTTACAAAATTTTCAATTTTCGGAAATATGTCAAAAATTTATTTTTTGACCAGACATGGCCAGAACGACTGGGCTGTTGATGCTGATCAAGAATATATATGGTTTATAGGGTCGGAAACGACTCCTTCACTGCGTTGCAAGCTTCTGACTTAAATTATATTCTTCAAAAAGGTATAAAAACAGATCATATTTTAACAAAATCAAAGTTTTTCGGACATCATAATTAAGCCGAAATTGCATTAATTTTAATTCGGAAAGCTCTTTTGTGCTAGTTTTAATTGCACTAACAAATCCGCATACTGCTTTTGTTGATGCTGTTGTCAGTTTTTGACTAAAATCATAAAAACCGGCAAAAAGGTATAAAAACAGACAATTTTTCCCAAAAATCATAGTTTTAGAAAACTCATAACTAAGCCAAAAACTCATTCATTTTGATTCGGAAAGCTGTTCTATGCTAGTTTTTAGTAGATTCACAAAGCTGCATACCCAGTTTTCAAATTTAATAAATTCAATTTTTTGTCAAATTTTGGCCATTTTAATGATGTAACCCCTTACAAAATTTTCAATTTTCGGAAAAATGTCAAAAATTTATTTTTTGACCAGACATGGCCAGAACGACTGGGCTGTTGATGCTGATCAAGAATATATATGGTTTATAGGGTCGGAAACGACTCCTTCACTGCGTTGAAAGCTTCTGACTTAAATTATATTCTCCAAAAAGGTATAAAAACAGATCATTTTTAACAAAATCAAAGTTTTTCGGACATCATAATTAAGCCGAAATTGCACTCATTTTAATTCGGAAAGCTCTTCTGTGCTAGTTTTTATTGCACTAACAAATCTGCATACTGCTTTTGTTGATGCTGTTGTCAGTTTTTGACTAAAATCATAAAAACCGGCAAAAAGGTATAAAACAGACAATTTTTCCCAAAAATCATAGTTTTAGAAAACTCATAACTAAGCCAAAATATCATTCATTTTAATTCGGAAAGCTGTTCTATGCTAGTTTTTAGTGGATTAACAAAGCTGCATACCCAGTTTTCAAATTTAATAAATTCAATTTTTGTCAAATTTTGGCCATTTTAATGATGTAACTAACCCCTTACAAAATTTTCAATTTTCGGAAATATGTCAAAAATTTATTTTTGACCAGACATGGCCAGAACGACTGGGCTGTTGATGCTGATCAAGAATATATATGGTTTATAGGGTCGGAAACGACTCCTTCACTGCGTTGCAAGCTTCTGACTTAAATTATATTCTTCAAAAAGGTATAAAAACAGATCATTTTTTAACAAAATCAAAGTTTTTCGGACATCATAATTAAGCCGAAATTGCACTCATTTTAATTCGGAAAGCTCTTCTGTGCTAGTTTTTATTGCACTAACAAATCTGCATACTGCTTTTGTTGATGCTGTTGTCAGTTTTTGACTAAAATCATAAAAACCGGCAAAAAGGTATAAAAACAGACAATTTTTCCCAAAAATCATAGTTTTAGAAAACTCATAACTAAGCCAAAATATCATTCATTTTAATTCGGAAAGCTGTTCTATGCTAGTTTTTAGTGGATTAACAAAGCTGCATACCCAGTTTTCAAATTTAATAAATTCAATTTTTTGTCAAATTTTGGCCATTTTAATGATGTAACCCCTTACAAAATTTTCAATTTTCGGAAAAATGTCAAAAATTTATTTTTTGACCAGACATGGCCAGAACGACTGGGCTGTTGATGCTGATCAAGAATATATATGGTTTATAGGGTCGGAAACGACTCCTTCACTGCGTTGAAAGCTTCTGACTTAAATTATATTCTCCAAAAAGGTATAAAAACAGATCATTTTTTAACAAAATCAAAGTTTTTCGGACATCATAATTAAGCCGAAATTGCACTCATTTTAATTCGGAAAGCTCTTCTGTGCTAGTTTTATTGCACTAACAAATCTGCATACTGCTTTTGTTGATGCTGTTGTCAGTTTTTGACTAAAATCATAAAAACCGGCAAAAAGGTATAAAAACAGACAATTTTCCCAAAAATCATAGTTTTAGAAAACTCATAACTAAGCCAAAATATCATTCATTTTAATTCGGAAAGCTGTTCTATGCTAGTTTTTAGTGGATTAACAAAGCTGCATACCCAGTTTTCAAATTTAATAAATTCAATTTTTTGTCAAATTTTGGCCATTTTAATGATGTAACCCCTTACAAAATTTTCAATTTTCGGAAAAATGTCAAAAATTTATTTTTTGACCAGACATGGCCAGAACGACTGGGCTGTTGATGCTGATCAAGAATATATATGGTTTATAGGGTCGGAAACGACTCCTTCACTGCGTTACAAGCTTCTGACTTAAATTATATTCTTCAAAAAGGTATAAAAACAGATCATTTTTTAACAAAATCAAAGTTTTTCGGACATCATAATTAAGCCGAAATTGCACTCATTTTAATTCGGAAAGCTCTTCTAAGCTAGTTTTTATTGCACTAACAAATCTGCATACTGCTTTTGTTGATGCTGTTGTCAGTTTTTGACTAAAATCATAAAAACCGGCAAAAAGGTATAAAAACAGACAATTTTTCCCAAAAATCATAGTTTTAGAAAACTCATAACTAAGCCAAAATATCATTCATTTTAATTCGGAAAGCTGTTCTATGCTAGTTTTTAGTGGATTAACAAAGCTGCATACCCAGTTTTCAAATTTAATAAATTCAATTTTTTGTCAAATTTTGGCCATTTTAATGATGTAACCCCTTACAAAATTTTCAATTTTCGGAAAAATGTCAAAAATTTATTTTTTGACCAGACATGGCCAGAACGACTGGGCTGTTGATGCTGATCAAGAATATATATGGTTTATAGGGTCGGAAACGACTCCTTCACTGCGTTGAAAGCTTCTGACTTAAATTATATTCTCCAAAAAGGTATAAAAACAGATCATTTTTTAACAAAATCAAAGTTTTTCGGACATCATAATTAAGCCGAAATTGCACTCATTTTAATTCGGAAAGCTCTTCTGTGCTAGTTTTTATTGCACTAACAAATCTGCATACTGCTTTTGTTGATGCTGTTGTCAGTTTTTGACTAAAATCATAAAAACCGGCAAAAAGGTATAAAAACAGACAATTTTTCCCAAAAATCATAGTTTTAGAAAACTCATAACTAAGCCAAAATATCATTCATTTTAATTCGGAAAGCTGTTCTATGCTAGTTTTTAGTGGATTAACAAAGCTGCATACCCAGTTTTCAAATTTAATAAATTCAATTTTTTGTCAAATTTTGGCCATTTTAATGATGTAACCCCTTACAAAATTTTCAATTTTCGGAAAAATGTCAAAAATTTATTTTTTGACCAGACATGGCCAGAACGACTGGGCTGTTGATGCTGATCAAGAATATATATGGTTTATAGGGTCGGAAACGACTCCTTCACTGCGTTACAAGCTTCTGACTTAAATTATATTCTTCAAAAAGGTATAAAAACAGATCATTTTTTAACAAAATCAAAGTTTTTCGGACATCATAATTAAGCCGAAATTGCACTCATTTTAATTCGGAAAGCTCTTCTGTGCTAGTTTTTATTGCACTAACAAATCTGCATACTGCTTTTGTTGATGCTGTTGTCAGTTTTTGACTAAAATCATAAAAACCGGCAAAAAGGTATAAAAACAGACAATTTTTCCCAAAAATCATAGTTTTAGAAAACTCATAACTAAGCCAAAATATCATTCATTTTAATTCGGAAAGCTGTTCTATGCTAGTTTTTAGTGGATTAACAAAGCTGCATAACCAGTTTTCAAATTTAATAAATTCAATTTTTGTCAAATTTTGGCCATTTTAATGATGTAACCCCTTACAAAATTTTCAATTTTCGGAAAAATGTCAAAAATTTATTTTTTGACCAGACATGGCCACAACGACTGGGCTGTTGATGCTGATCAAGAATATATATGGTTTATAGGGTCGGAAACGACTCCTTCACTGCGTTGCAAGCTTCTGACTTAAATTATATTCTCCAAAAAGGTATAAAAACAGATCATTTTTTAACAAAATCAAAGTTTTTCGGACATCATAATTAAGCCGAAATTGCATTAATTTTAATTCGGAAAGCTCTTCTGTACTAGTTTTAATTGCACTAACAAATCTGCATACTGCTTTGTTGATGCTGTTGTCAGTTTTTGACTAAAATCATAAAAACCGGCAAAAAGGTATAAAAACAGACAAATTTTCCCAAAAATCATAGTTTTAGAAAACTCATAACTAAGCCAAAAAATCATTCATTTTTATTCGGAAAGCTGTTCTATGCTAGTTTATAGTGGATTAACAAAGCTGCATACCCAGTTTTCAAATTTAATAAATTCAATTTTTTGTCAACTTTTGGCAATTTTAATGATGTAACCCCTTACAAAATTTTCAATTTTCGGAAAAATGTCAAAAATTTATTTTTTGACCAGACATGGCCAGAACGACTGGGCTGTTGATGCTGATCAAGAATATATATGGTTTATAGGGTCGGAAACGACTCCTTCACTGCGTTGCAAGCTTCTGACTTAAATTATATTCTCCAAAAAGGTATAAAAACAGATCATTTTTTAACAAAATCAAAGTTTTTCGGACATCATAATTAAGCTGAAATTGCATTCATTTTAATTCGGAAAGCTCTTCTGTGCTAGTTTTTATTGCACTAACAAATCTGCATACTGCTTTTGTTGATGCTGTTGTCAGTTTTTGACTAAAATCATAAAAACCGGCAAAAAGGTATAAAAACAGACAATTTTTCCCAAAAATCATAGTTTTAGAAAACTCATAACTAAGCCAAAATATCATTCATTTTAATTCGGAAAGCTGTTCTATGCTAGTTTTTAGTAGATTCACAAAGCTGCATACCCAGTTTTCAAATTTAATAAATTCAATTTTTGTCAAATTTTGGCAATTTTAATGATGTAACCCCTTACAAAATTTTCAATTTTCGGAAATATGTCAAAAATTTATTTTTTGACCAGACATGGCCAGAACGACTGGGCTGTTGATGCTGATCAAGAATATATATGGTTTATAGGGTCGGAAACGACTCCTTCACTGCGTTTTAAGCTTCTAACTTAAATGATAATACTCTTCAAGGGTATAATATTGGAGGGCTTACTTGTTCATATCATCCGGACACTCTGCCATTGCGCGCACCCCGAGAGACACTGTGCCATAGGTAGCACCCACTTTGCCGGTTTGGGGATTTAAAGTGACAATCTGGCGGTTGTTCTTGCACAACCATATCTCTTTCTTATTGGGGAGACAAGCAAACGTAAAGATATCTTTCTCTTGGCAGCTGTGGACTCGGTCTTTGCTGATTTTGTAGCGCAACATCTTTTTGTCAAACTCCAGGGACCAGAAGAACAACTGGCTACGACTAAGGGTCACTATGGTATCGCTGCTCAGCCAATATACGTTGTTGAGCTTGCCGGTGACCTTGCTCTTGCTGTAGTTCTTCCCGGAATGAGCTCCCGTGTTCGCGTTCCAGATCATCATGACCTCATTCGCATCAATAGAGGCCAGCAGAGTGTCGGGCCGTGTGGTTACTGACGAACTTAGTGTTTCCGTGCTGCCAGTAGCTGTCACTTGGGGATTGCTTGGCGGCTCGGGCTTGGCGTGAGGGGTCTCTGAGGCATGGACCTCTGCCTGGTGGTAGATGTGATGCAGCACTTCGCGCTTGGGCTTTGCCGCCTCTCCATCGACGATCACAGCGTCGTCGCTGGAGGAGCTATATTGAATAACCTCAAGACTGCCTTCGGTGGAATCGCTGATATCCTGGCGGTTGCTGGCGGTGCTGGCATCGCTCAGTGGCCCAGAGGGCTTCGTGGGTTCACAGTCGTTCAAGGTGACCTCTACGTGCTCAACACTATCGTCCTGACTATGCGCCATCAGATCTGCCTTCATGCTCTCGCAGGCTTCTACGTAATCGAGGGCAGCGGTACTGGCTGGCTTCTCCAGGCCCACAAAACCGTCTTCGGAAGATTTGCGCCGCTCTGCTATGGGTGCCCCGAACTCACACTCCAGATGATCAAAGTTGTAGATGTCGAACATATCGTCGGACTCGGCGGCCCGGGACTTAAGCAGCGGTGGTGGTTTCGGCTTGGCCTTCTCCTCCTCGTTACCATTGCGACTGCGCCACTGCTCAGCTCTCGACGATAGCTCATTGAGATTCTCCTCCAGAGGAGCATTCACTTCTTGCCAAGACAGGCCGCAGATGGGCGCCTTGTGGCCAGTGAACTTGTAGACGACGCCCATCTTGAGCAAGTCACAGATCAGAACGTTCCCCATAGCAGTTCCCACGGCAAATTGGTTGTTGTTGTAGGGGGAGGCGCGAAACTGGGTGAGCTGATGGTTCTTTGGCGACAGGAACGTCGGCCGGCGGCAGTATGTGTTTGAGGCCACGCAAATATTACCAGGTCGCTGGCATCTATCGACAGTATATTTCCGTTGGCCATGTAGCTCAACAGCACGGAGCTGGTGGTTGGGTAGACTGATCGTGCATCGCGTGCTTCTTGCTGATGCTGGTGCGCCTTGTGCCCGATGACAGCCTCGCCCAGAAGGCAGTCCCAGACCTGCACGCTCAAGTCATCGCCGACTATGGCGAACGGCTTGCTCTTGCCGCCCCACGAAGGACTCACGTCGAGGGCCAGGATGTTGATGCGCGTCGACATGGTCGCCACCTGAACCTGCTTATTGCTGCACGCCGGCGGAGCCGCTATGTAGTTAATACACCGCACACCGACGTAGAGAAAGCCCCCATCGGGAGCTGCCGCCGCCAGGGCTAGGCTGGACGGCGGAGTGGGCACATTGTGGTACGTTACCTGCGAGTTCATGGCGAGGAATCAGAACCCAAGATAAAACAGAAATAAACACAATTCTTCCCGCTAACATTTGGTGTCGAGAAAAAGCTTGGCAAGTTTTCCAGCGATGGCTATGAATCGATTTCCAAACCGATACTGTACATATCGATATATTTATATCGTCGTGCCTGCGAATGTCAAACTCGGCCAAAACAACAACAATCAACAAATATCAACAAAATAAGTCGAAAATTGCGTAAAAAGGACAAAATCAGAGTCGAGGGCTGACACGGCTCTAACAGACACATGGCATTTCGCTTCTTTGGCAAATCCCTTCTCTACGGGCTGCCCCTGGGGATCACGTTTCTTGACTGCGTTGGCTATGTGGCCAGGGTGGAGGGTGAGCACACGGGTTACATATATGTTTACGATTCAAATACGGAACGTTTTATACAGGAATCTCCATGCAGCCGGCGCTGAATCCGGTGGCAGATGAACGGGATTACGTCTTCCTCATGCGCTGGGGCACGCACAACAGTCAATTGGAACGCGGCGACATAATATCCCTCATCTCCCCCAAGGATCCCGCTCAGAAGATCATTAAACGGGTGGTGGGACTCCAGGGCGATGTGGTGTCCACGCTGGGCTATAAGCAGGAAATTGTGCGCATTCCTGAGGGCCATTGCTGGGTGGAAGGTGATCACACCGGGCACTCAATGGACAGCAATACCTTTGGGCCGGTGGCCATGGGGCTGATGTCAGCGCGAGCGGTGGCTATTGTCTGGCCGCCGGAACGTTGGCAGCTGCTGCACAACGAATTGCCGCGCCGACGGAGGCCTATCCAGGCGGCCAAGGGCAACTACTATAACTAGACTGACCAGCAGCCAGCTCTGCACCGAGGATAGTTCCAATTGTGTACATACATGTGTTAAAGCCACCAAACAAGCTATATATTTTATAAATAATTGTGTTCCCGCAAGCGAGGCACATAGGACGTTCTAAATTAAAAATTATAGTAAAAAATCCAAAGAATAACGCTTAGTTAACATCTCGTTATTTGACTTTTGATTCATTGTTTTGGAGAACTATAGATGCGAATTGAATACAATTATATAATTATTTGATATCAACGTAATAATATTTAAAATGCGAGTCGCAATTGATTTTAAAACTATGAAAACTATAAACTGTTTATGGAACTTAACATTATTTCCAATTATGATTTTTTAGGGAATTAACAAAATGTTTAGTATTCTAAAGCATTTTTCTCGACCGGATGCCGAATTCCTCCATTACGGCCACGGTTTGCTTTAGGGCCACTCCTGCTCTCACTATCTCATAGTAGCCCGGAGTGGCCAAGTCGATCACCGTGGAGGCCAGACGTCGCTCCTCCGTAAGACCAATTTGGCCGGCATCGAAGACAGCCCCCAATTGGGGCCAGAGCGACCGGAACTCAGACACTTGCAGACTGCTGGGCGCACTGGACCGGTTGGCGCTGGTCAGGGCCAGCGGCTGCTCGTGCCACACGGCGCACAGGTCTCGCATAAACTGAAAGTCTGGAATACGTATGCCGATCTTGGAGGTGCTGGGATTGAGGAACCTATTGCTCAGCGCGGGCGTCCGCTCGATCACGATGGTCAGGGGGCCCGGGAGCAAACGAGTTAGCAGCTCGTCGCTGAGGTGGGCAGCCTGGCCAAAGCGACGGAGGGCGGAGTTGTTGTGCACGCAGATGGCTACCGGCTTATGTTCGTCCCTGCCCTTGATCTCGTACAGGCGCTGGATGGCCTGCTCGTTATTGGCGTCGCAGGCTAAGCCGTAAACGGTGTCTGTAGGTAGGCCAATTACCTGGCCACTAAGCAGACAGTGGCGGGCCAGCTGGAGAGCCGATCCGTCTGCTACTGGGCACACAGGGGTCTTCGCCTTCTCCTTAGGCTGTGGCAGCATTGTGGTGGACTTGGGGCGGGCCTGTTGCCCTAGGAGGCGACTGATTAGCAGCGCCTGTGTGTGGCGCATTAGTCCCGCCAGTTGTGACCGCACTCGTGGTTGCAGCACTTGTAGAATGTGGTCATGGGCTCGTCAGCAGACCGCGTCTGGATCTGCATAAAGTACGCCCGCTTGTGGCTGCACGACGGGCACTCGGCGTCAGTCGAGTCCACGTTCTCCCACGCTGCCTTGCCGCCCAGAACGTGGTCAACCTCCTGCAGTTACAGAACAGAACGATATGATCACAAATTCAATCCAAATTGCATCATCGAACATACCTTGAGGCGTGGAAAGGTCTTGGTTGAGATCTTTCGTTTGATCTTTGAGATGTACGGGCAGGTGTTGCAGGTAAAGCGGTGGCTGTTGGTGTCCTCCTCGATAATCAGTATATTGCCACACGACGGGCAGAAAAACAACATAATTGTTGTTCACCACCGGTTAGTTTTCGAGCACGTTTTAGATAGAGGTGGAGGGAACACGATTTCAACATCAATACCATCGATATTCGATTTGGTTTTCGATATATCGAAAACGCCTTAAAAATATTTCCATATGTATTTATATTTTAATCAGAATTAATTGATTGGTGCACAATTATAACCATTTATTTGTAATCCTAAGAATAAACATATTTTTTTTTAAATATCGATTGCTCTCTAAAAAGATCGAATACAATCGAGTATCGAGTAGCACTGAGAATCGATTTTTTCGCACCTCTAGCTGTGGAACTGTCATTCCGCGATTTTTTGCAAAACAATTGTAAAATTAAACAATAATACCAAGAATATACGGTTAAAGTTAGTGAATCCCCATAAGTAAATCAACATGTCGGCCGATGTGCGTGATATCCTGGACATGGAGCGTGCTAACACGCCGGAAGTGACGAGGGATTCCTTTCTGGCCACCAAGAAGCGCAACTTTGAGCGGTAAACAAACAAATTTCCTTGGAAGCGAGTGCTGCAATTACAATGTGTAATTCTTTACAGAACCAAGAACGCTTCGCGACGTCCCGAAGGCATGCACCGCGAGGTGTTCGCCCTGCTCTACACAGACAAGAAGGATGCTCCGCCTCTGCTGCCCACGGACACGGCTCTGGGCATCGGCGCCGGCTACAAGCAGGCAAAGGCGCGTCTGGGCATGAAGAAGGTGCGCAAGTGGGAGTGGGCACCGTTCTGCAATCCGGCGCGCAACGATGCCGCCGTCTTCCATCACTGGAAACGAGTTAGCGACAATTCGACGGACTATCCCTTCGCCAGGTTCAATAAACAGGTGGAGATCCCCTCCTACACCATGACAGAGTACAATGCCCACTTGCGGAATAATATCAGCAACTGGAACAAAGTGCAGACCGATCACCTGTTCGACTTGGCAAGGCGGTAAGCTCTGTTTGGCCCCTAAAATATTCAAAAGAATTATAAGAACTGCTTTTTCCAGATTTGACCTCCGTTTCATTGTGATGGCAGATCGCTGGAACCACCAGCAGCATGGCGCCAAGACAGTGGAGGAGCTCAAGGAACGCTACTACGAGGTGGTGGCTCTGCTGTCCAAGGCCAAGAATCAGACCAGCGACAAAAAGGTATTCACATATGACGCCGAGCACGAGCGTCGGCGCAAGGAGCAGCTCGAAAAGCTGTTCAAGCGCAACCGTCAGCAAGTGGAAGAGGAGCAAATGCTCATTAACGAGATGAAGAAAATCGAGGCCCGCAAAAAGGAGCGTGAGCGAAAGACGCAGGATCTTCAGAAGCTCATCTCGCAAGCTGATCAGCAGAATGAGCACGCCTCCAACACGCCCAGTACACGCAAGTACGAGAAAAAACTACACAAGAAAAAGGTCCATCCCCAGCCGCGACCCTCCAAGGTGGACTCGGTGGTTAACGCCATCGAGATTGGCAGTAGCGGCATCAAGTTTGCCGACCTGCGTGGCTCCGGAGTCTCACTGCGCTCGCAAAAGATGAAGTTACCAGCCAACATTGGTCAGCGAAAGGTTAAGGCACTTGAGCAGGCCATCCAGGAGTTCAAAGTTGGTAAGTTGTAACGAAACGCCAAAGACTTTCGCCTGGCGATGCTAATTGTGCTGTGTACTTTGAAGATCCCGCGCCACCGCCAACGGAGGAAATATGCAACTCCTTCAACGAGCTGCGTTCCGACATGGTACTCCTTTGCGAGTTGCGCACAGCGTTGTCCACCTGCGTCTACGAGATGGAGAGCCTCAAGCATCAGTATGAAGCCGCCTGTCCGGGCAAGGTGGGTGTCCACTAACCATGTCCGCAAGCATGTTGTTTGATTTCTGTTTTCTTCTTATAATCCCGATGCAGACACTCAACATACCGCCCTCACTGGTGCCGATCAAGACCGAGGCCCTGGACAATAGCTCAAATTAATTAAGTTAACGCGGCCCGCTTACCCTAACTCTGCACAGACAGAAAGAAAGAGATTCTCCAGACGCCGAAGTGTGTGCGGCGTGCTAATCATTGTAACCTGTTTTCCACTATTCCATATTTGTGCATTTGCGCTACTCCCAGTCCGCTTGGGGAAATAAATGGATAAACAAGAAAATTGTTTTGCGGCACACTCGATGTGAAAATCAAATAGCCCACGGCCAGCGGTGGCCAAGCAGCAGTTGGCATGTCGAGTGTGAGAACTTTTTCCCAACCATTCGGCCGTGATTTATTTTCCAGCTAGCCGTGTGCTCTGTTAGTGGCTCGTATTTGGGTTAGGCAAGCAGCCATAGCCGCAGCAGCAGCAACAACACCATGGGATGCGATCTTTGGCGAACCGAAAAGGAGAGAATCGAACTGGGCTGAGCGCGTGATATGTTCGATTCGATGCCTGCCCACACAATTCGGATATACAGATGCAGAGGCGGAGGCGGCGTCCCATTCATCGGGACCAGTATTTGTGAATGAACCGAATGCGAAGGCAAACACTCAGACTTACACACACACAACACCCATACGAAGGCGAACGAAAAGCGAGGTTCGGAGGAGCGCCGAGGGAGAGGCGACGGAAAACGCATATGAAATCATTCTGTTGGCGGTGGCTCGACCTGCCTTACCTGAGCGTAGGCCGCTCAGTCGAGTTTCAGACGTCGTCGGGTCCAGTTCGTTAGCGCTACCTCGTCGTCTCTCAATTTCTGTGAGTGTGTGTAATTGTCGGTGGTTCTCTGCCTCACCTGGCCGCATGCAACCCGAAAACAAAGTTCGTCTGAGCGGCAAACGTGAAAATGCAAATTTGACCATACTCGAGAGTTGGTTGTTTGTGGTATTACCTCGCGCAGCGCTACCTGGCATTCCTCGGTCACAGTCATCGTCATTGTCAGCGTCATCATCCCTCCTGAATCTCTGGGAATCCTGGCGGCGGGGGGCAAGGCGCGCAAACACATCAGCAGAGTCGGACTCGCATCCGTTTCCGGTTCTTTCTGTTCTGTTGATTGTTCCCTATACATACTTGCAGTGCGGCAGCCGGTAGTTTTTCATGAATGAAATTTTAATTTCATGAGTGCGCGAGTGTGTGTGCACCGCATGTCCAGTCACAGTTCCAGTTCCAGCCCGAACTCCAGCGGTGTCAACTGACGGTGCCCTCCGATCGCATTGTCGACGCTGCCGGGGCGTCAGTGCACCGTAAAGATCTTTATCGCATTTTAAATACGTTCTGGAGCAGAAGGCAGAAGGCAAGACCCGGCCGGCAGGCAGGTAGACGGCAAGCGAGCCAGGTTAATGCGGTTTATTGTTCTATGAACGCTGGCTGGCACCGCTCTCTGTTTAAGTTTCGCACGCTGATAAAGAGGAGCAGCGACAACACACACCAAACGCACGGACTTCGCCCTGGCCATCAAGATGTGGCCTAAGCTCAGGTGAGTCTCTCTGGCCCAATTCGCTGGGCAAATAAACATTTATGTGTGTGTGTGCTCTTGATGATGGGGGGAGACGCCCACAAGGCTTTATTTATGTGATAGAAATCTGTATCTGGCATTTGCCATTTTCTACAGCAGCGTGTGTAGCAGAAATTAGCACCTTTTAATCTAATAATAGCGCTGGATTCGAACGCAGCCTAATCGCAGTCTTAATCGTAGCCAGCCCGTGGGCAGGTGAGTGGATCGGATTGGCTAAGCTCGACTCATAATGAACTCGTATTAAAATTCAAAGCTATAATGATTTCAATCAGCTCGCAGTCATTTAACGCCGCCCAAGCGTACGGCACTTCCGTTGTGTTTTGTCTCAAATTTCGTTTAATTTCACGGGCTAATGTCTTCCCAATTCACTCGGGAAGCCCACGCTTTTCGAGGGCCAGACACAAGAGGCATCCAAGAAATGGGAAGAGACAACATGGAGCAGGAATGGAACGAACCCACACACGGTGCCTCCATTGACTCTTTCTCTCTCTTCCCCCTCTCGGTTTACGCGCAATTAGCGCTTTGTTGTTGCTGCTCCACTCTCTTCTAACTCATCATTTTCACAGCGGGCAACCATGGATCTTCGGGCTCTGCTCACAAGCGACAATGTAGGAAAACTCTTTTTATTTTTATTTTCATTTCATTTTCAAAAAACGCCCACAACAACAACAACAATGAAAGCGGAGAAAAAGATTGCTCATAATTAATGTTTATATAATTTTTTACTGCTTTACATGCGGCTCATTAGCCGCCGCCTGGCTCGGGTTGCCTCCGCTGCGGCCGCCGTTTCCATTTATTTCAGTTTCTGTTCTTCTTGGCTTGACATGGCAGGTTCGTTGCCTAAGTCTTTTGTTTGCCAACTGCCAACTGGCAGCCGTGGGCGTCCGCTTGATGCGGGACGCGGAGCGACTGCGACTACAGCAGTCACCGCAGCAAATGCCCAGGGAAAAGAGATAAAATAAGAAACATTTGTGCTACTTACCAGCCGCTGTAGCTGCTGCTGCTGCTGTTGCTGTTGCTCCACAACAAGTTGCCAAATTTGGCAATGGGAGCGCAGAGCTCAGAGCTCAGAGCGATGCCTGCTGCCTGCTGCCCACTTACTTTTGTGCCCAAAGTGTGTCGCCGACATCCGAGCATCCAATGAGCTAATGTCTCTTGGCAAAGATGAGACTCCGCTGACACCGCTTGTCACAGGGAATAGGACCTTCCACTGGTTTCTGGCAGTGCATGCATAACTTATACACAGAGACATTCACTTAGCATACTCCTCCGCAGCATCCGAGCAATTTCTTGCCATACAACTCTAGTCTGTCTCTGGCATTTGCATTTGTGTGTGGGCCGCCCACGGTGTGTTTGGTGTGGGCTAGACCAAGTGTGTTAGTGTGTGTTTGTGGCATATGCCAACTGCTGTCGCATAATATCTTTAATTTAGTTCATTTCCAAGCCCATTTTCGTGATGCTCCGCCACACTCAGCTTTCTTTTCGTCGTATAATTTCCCTCAAAATTTCATTGATTTTTCGGCTCTCGTCAAGCGTTTTCCACTTTTATTTATTGGTTTTCTGTGTGTGTGTTGTCTTGGCTTTCGAAATGTCGCAATTAACAGTCGATTTAGCATTATGCACATGCGTTGGCGGCCTCCTCGTGCCTCAACTGGCTTTCTGAGGTTTTGTGTGGGCTGTGAACTTGGTCTTTAGGTTTTTTTCATTCGAATCAAGGGAGATGGAGAATGTCATGTTTTTTGGAGGAAATACTATATTTATCCATGCTTGAAAAGAGTAGAAAAATGGTACTACGATATAGGAATTAATCATTAAATTGTATATTTTATATATGAGTGTTATATGAGGTCTAAGTCTGCCTGATTAAAGACACATAAAGTTAATTTCGACTATAAAGCCAGATTACAGAATTGCAATTTTACTAAGATATATATTTACTCAACAAAAAGTATAAGAAAAGAGATATTTACTTTATAAATAAAACCGTCTTTGGTGCTTGGTTTTAATGTATATATTAATTGAGTCCTCAAAGTTGCTGATTTATGTAAAACACACATTTATTACATATAATAAATGAATATATAAATGTTTACTCTCCTTCTTAATATTATATTCTCATTGTCCATCAGTCTATTAACACGATATCTTTCTGCTTTACCATTTAATATTTTACTGCCTCATTCAAGTCAATGTTAAGAATATATAAATACCTTTGTATGCATTAAATTTGTGGCCCAAAGGCAAGTGAAATGAGCTTCAGGAGCGAATCGGACGAGAGTCCCAGTCATGTCCATAAATTTCGGTCTCAAATTGCTTTTAGTTGTTCGGCTGCCGCTGGACTGCCATCGGCATATTCATATGCAAATGGCAGACACAACACACAGAACTCAGACTCCTCTCCTCACTCAGACCTGAAGCCTCTTTTGGGCCAGAGTAAACAGGCATCGAGAAATCCAATTTAATTTAAATTAAACACACTGCCTGGACACCAAGTTCATTCATTCATGTTCATGCTCGGACCGGGACCGTGTTCGGGGGCTCATAAAATGCAAGATTTGGTAAATAAAATAAAAATGCAAGCGCACAAAGCCCGGCTTATGGTTTGTTTACCTTGCCCCAAGGGAAATCGGAGCAGATCTCATCGGATCAGCCAACTGTTTCTCGCATTGGGATTTGGATTCAGAATCGGATTCGGATTGCCCGACCGTCGTCTCGTTTCATGTTTTGTATTTGGGCCTCATCCGAGACGGGGGCTTGAGGTCCGACTTGCAATGACTGCTGCTGTCACTTATCGGTTACTTGGCCTGCGATTTGCTTAATTGTTCGAGTACTTGGCCGAGCACAGCTGCCCACGTGTGTGTTCAATTAAAAAGTAATTTGCCCAACGAAGGCAAAACAAAAGGCAGCCAAATCCGTTGCGAGCCACCCACACGTTTCCGCTGACTTGTCGTCTCGGCCCACTCTCAAAAAATAATACTTACTAATTTTATTTCTCGGAGTTGTTGCCGTTGTCCGTTCCTCTGTTTTGGTTTGTGTTTTCTTGTTTACAGCAAAAAACGAGTTTGTGAGACCTGTGATTTGCAGTTCGCTTTGACAATATTACCAGCAATTCGAGTCTGACAGCGAACCCACAGAGAGCGACAAGCTCTTGCTGCATGGAACACACATATCTGGGGGGCAGAAGTGGTCGGTATAAGTCAGAAATTGGTTAATTTTTCAATTAAATATTAATTGGTTTTTTAAATATTTTCATTGAGAATTTTGTAAGAGCAATTAGGAGTCCTTACAGCTAATATATTTCTGTACACTTTGGATATAAATATGTAATTTTAAAATAAGTAAAAGGAGAAGCATAACTTTAAAGGTATTAATAAGGTTTGTATTCCTATAAGTCTGGAAGATCAACTTGAATCGGCATTATCAATAGGCATTTATTGAGTTAAAATTAAAAGTTATTAATTCACGTGACTGATAAGAACGATGATAATACCGACAGGTTTTGCCACCGGTTTACTGCAATGATATAACTTGGTGGACAGGTCTTACATTGACTTGTATAAATTATATTTGTCTAGCAAGAAGTACAAAAAGCTGGTTAGAGATGGGAAGAAATAGATTTAGTTACTCTTAAAAATACTACATTAAGCCTCAAATAACAACTTAACCGCACACGCTACTTACTTTCTGTTTAAATGGACTCCCAAGTCAAGGCATTACCACTGACATAAAGATAGTATAAGTATATATATTCTTCCTATACTCCAGTGCTATGTTTATTATTTTGATGGACCTATAATTGTAGATGGAAATATAATATTTGCGCTCCTTGTCAGAATGCCAGCATCCGTTTCCGTCTTACAAGAAAGACGCCTTAATGGGCAGCCTTCCGATGCGAGTCATTCACGCAGTCGGTTCTCACAGGCCCAAGGGGGAGGGTGAAACAAGGAACCAGGGACCAGGGGCCAGGATCACAATTAAATCCCTTTTGGTTTTCAGTTTCCTGTCCCCTTTTGTCTACTCCTTTTCGGCATGCTAAATACCCAGGCAGACCACAATGGTCGGACGTGGATGTGGGATGTTTGCTGTTGAATGTTGAATGTTGGTGTGGCTACTTCAGTTTCGAAAGCAGCTGCTTCGGCTTTCCACCTCTCTCCTGGCCTTTTTGTGTGCCGCACGTCTGTGGTTCCCACTTTGCGTGACATTTCGACCTTTGGCTGGCTTTTGCAGCAACTTTTACTATTTTCATGCTAGGCATAAATTTCATTTGCCACACACAACACACACACACATGAGCCCCGTTCGATGCGCTTTCAACAACCGAACAATGCCCCAGCAGGTTGATATTCAGCATGGCCAAGCTAGAAATAACAAAAAAGATTAAATAAAATAATATAATATAAAAAAAGCAATTTACAAATTTCGCCTTTGGCCTATGCAACATGTTGCTGTCATTATGATTAGCAACATGTTGCCCAATTTGCCCGCCGCTGCCGTTTCGGCAATTCATGTCACTCGTTGCGGTTGCTTTAGCTCCTACAAAAAAATAAGTTATTTTATGTATAAATAATTAGGCAACTGCAACTGCAGCTGACGCCGAAAATTGTTTCCCTAAATTGCCGTGGAAGTGGGTACGAGGACGAATTCCCCTTACTTTATAAATGTAATTTACTTTTGAAGTAAAAACAGACTAGATTTTGCTCATTTTGGTAAAAGTTCCTTTAATTTCTAAATAAAAATAATACTTAATATTTCTAATTGCTTGTAATTCGAGTTAAAATATTTTTTAATATATTGAAATTAAATTTCTTAAGTTGAGAATGAATGAGTTCTTCCTTACTATTCCTCTGAGAATCTTTCGAAAGTGTTGTTTTTGACTTACTAATTACTCTTGGAGTTTGCAATTGAGTTATAGATCGATCATAACTAAGCTTTAAATATTTGCATGTTTATCGAATATGACAATTTTTATCGACAAATTAAAGTTTAAAAAATTCATAACTAGGTCCAAAAAGCATTAATTTTAATTCGGAAAGCTGTCCTATGTTAGTTTTTATTAGGTTAATTAATCTGCATACTACATTTGGAATTTAAAAAAGATTCAAATTTTTATCAATTTTTTGAAATTTTAACGATGTAACCCCTTATAGATCGATTCACCTGTTAATTCTGATCAAGAATATATATACTTTATAGGGTCGAAAAGGACTCCTTCACTGTGTTACAAGCTTCTGACTAAAAGTATAATACCCTGCAAGAGTATAATAAACAGTAAAGAGCACCTAAAATTCGCTATCTACTTGGCCACAATTACTGGCTGTTTTTTATCGAATTTTTTGTTGTTCATTTATTGCCAAAGAAGGCGAGCTAACAAAAAACGCGTTTTTAATTGTTCAGTGGCTTATCGCATGTTTTGGCCATTTTGGGAGCGCAAAAATGTTGAGCAAAAAGGGGAAAGAGAGGAATGAAACCCAAAAACAACTAAAAACAAAAATATCCGAAAATAATAATATATGGTGCCAGTTAAGACTAAAGTTACGTGCGAAACACATAAGAATTAATTTGTTTTTGCTTTTCTAATTTGTTATGAGCCAACTTTGATTGAAATTCCCAATCAGTTGTGCAGTCAGCTGCCAGATACACCCATTTTGCGGCGTCATTATCATATGTATCTGTATCTGTATCTTTTGATCTTCATGCAGCATCATCAGGCAGCCAAGAAAACGATGCAATGCCGTTACCAGCACCATTGCAAGCCATTTTCAGCCATTTGGCCTGGCTTACTCCCATATACTCGTACCATGCGTACATATATGTATGTTTAGGCATCCAAACGAGAGGGTTTATTTCCGCTGACGTGCCTTAATTTCAGTCAGTTTGGGACTGGCTCTTGCCGCCGTTTCAGCCGTTTCTGGTGTTTCTGGTGTTTTGGTCTCCATCTCCACGCAGTGTGTCTGCTCCGATGATGATAATGGCGATGGCGATGACGATGACTATGACTATGGCGCTATGCGCCTACACATCAGACAGCGCAGGTTTTAGAGTCGTCTGGCAAGGGGCTTCTTAGCTAGGCTACTTGATTGGTAAGATATCTAAAAAAAAACAGATTTTAAAACACAAGACAACCGATAATGAATTAGCAAAGATGCCACAAAAGTTACTTTGAATTTTTAAATGCAACTTCAGCAGAATACCTATCAATATGATTATTGTTAAGGATTCCATCAAGACTTCCTTGATTCTTCAAATAAAGACTTGAAGAATAATATCTTATATATAATTTCCAAGTTACCTAAAATAGTTAGATTTAAATATATGAAATGTAACCTTCTCTGAGCTCAATGGAAGCTTCTGAGAATTAGAAAGAGCATTCAAAATTCACCTCCAGCTTGCATTTCCAACTCTGATGTGTGTGGGAGCTGGGAGCAGCACCCTGCCCAGATGAATAATCAAACCAAGTTGGCGTCTCCAGTCTGCACACGGAAAAGTGATGGCGACGATTGCCTTGGGTTTCTTTCCGTCTCCGTCTCCGTCTCCGACACCGACACCTCCTGCTCCTGCCCCGCTCCTCCGACCTCCAACCCCTGGCTATATGTAGTATCTTGATTAGCGAGTCCGTGCTAAGTCTGAGGCCAAACAGGCAGCGTGCAGAAGAGCAGCTAGTTAGTTTGTTGTTCACAGCGGATGGTTGATGGATGTGCTTTGATTGAGTGCGGGGACTCATCGCTTCGCTGAGTCAGCGGCGACAGGTCAGCCAGCGGAGGTATTCAAATCCGGATCCTGGGAGGTGTGAGGCGTGGCATTTTATGCATAATTAGCCACACTGAGGCCCGAGGGAGGAGGCATTGGGCAAAGGAAGAAGCGAGCGGAAATTGAAGGCACTCAAACGTTTCGAATCGCTGGCCAGTTAGCGTGACAGAGGTGGAGTTGAGCTGAGCTGCATTTTAAAATATATATTTTTTTATTGTTGAGGACGTTGCCGGTGTGTGTACGCAGTGGTCAACACTATGCTTAATGTGGGCTGCACAGAGAGAAATATTTGAAGATATTTCTAATTGAAATATGGTGGCATATATCATAAGACTCTGTTAAAGAAAGTCGGAATATATTCAGAAACAATTGCAGCTTAAGGCCAGGCTTAAAGAGTTAAACGACAGGCATTTAAAATGTTTAATAATTCAAGAAACCATAGGTAATTCATTATTGTTCAGTGTGTGTTGATTTAGCAGGAAAAAAACAGATTTATTTTGACCACGTACATATGCAAAGCGCATTCTAATGGAACCGTCTATGCCAGTGCTTCCTCTGTCCATGCCTGGCCATTGTAGGTTGTAGTTACGCTCTGATTTTTGAGCCTCCACCTGTTGCTGTTATTGTTTGCACGCTTCCCTGATGCCCTGCGGTGCGTTTGCAATTGTTGCTGCTGCCACTGCCACTGTTTGCTGGCCCCAAAACGGAAACGCCGCCTTTTGTTGAGCGGAAATGCAAACCGATATTGTTCAAGAACCTTACCACTCCATTCGTAACAATGATTGACTTTGAATGGGTCTCGTCTCGGGTTGCACCGTGTTGCGTCGCAGCTATCAATTACTAACCCCAGTCCCAGTCCCAGTCCCAGTCCCCGTCGCGATGTCATTGGAGAGTGCCATCAAGATCCCAACGCCCAAACAAAAGGCACAAACAGCTCGCCCACTTGGCTAAGCTCCCTGTGTGGGCAAGCTGCAGATCGAGATCCAGATCCAAACAAGCAATTATGCAAAGTATTCAAATATATCTCTCTTTCCCGCTATGAGTAAGTACAGTATACATACATATATACAATATGTATATAGAAATAGGATCAGCCGCTGGGAGAACGCAGGCTGCGAAAGTTGCACACCACGCGAAGATTGGGAAGATTCTGCTGATTGCGACAGAAGCGATCCCAGCCCTTCCAGTACTTGAATCCCTCGCGCTCCTGGATCAGTTTGGCACAGGCAATGTCATCGCCAATGTCGTCGTTGGAGAAGTCTGCAAATATTTCAAAAGGAAAACATATTTAGATTCAAGTCTTAGGAAGAAGTCTTCTATTTAAAATGTATCCAAGTCTAGTACCACTTTATTATTGAAAGGTATTATAAGCAGGACATCTTTAAGTCACTCGATTTTAAGGATGTTATTCTAACTATAAAGTTTAAGATTTGAGAGACTAGTTAACTTTCATCTCACCTTCACATTTCCTATTGCACAGACCTCCCTTTCGTCCCTCGGCACAATAATCCCTGCTATTAATCTGGAACAGACCATAGTTCTTGCTTTCATTTTCCTTTTTCGTGATCTTCCCGGTGTCCAGGTAACTTTCATGCTCCACCAGACATATCCCTGGAAAGAGTAATATCTGAATTTACAAAGGATTTTCCTTAAGTTAAACTTACAGTTTGAGATGAAAGTCTTGTCAAAGTTGTAATTTTCAACCAGGACGCGGGTGAGTTCACAGCGTTGATATTTCTTGGACTCCACTACCTCAGATCCCACCAGCAGCAGGATCAGCAATGGAAGCAGGCACCTTAAAATGGTATTCATTCTGAAAGTAAATAACAACAGCGGTGTCTTGGATTATTCATAGAGAAATGTATACACAGGGTTTCCTCATTAGCTATGGACTTACTTAACCAAAGAGTTCAGTGATTGTATTAATGTCCAAGTTGTTCCTAGGAAGCACCTGATCGTTGGAGATCGATGTTACTTCTTCGAAAACCAGAGTCAAAGTCAAAGTGTTGAAACTCTATTGCACATCTGGCATTTTTTGGCTGGTGAAGGTGCTTTCACAGTTTATTGGTTATTCACAGCTTCCAATGACATTTGTGTTCTTTTTTTTAGCACCAAACAAGAACCACTCAATTGTGGCTAATGATGAGCCCACTAACAATACACCAAAGCTTTTACCTTTGTTTACTCCCACACGGTTTCGTGGGTTGAAATCGTTTCTGGTTTTTGCATAGAATGTTTTTTATTATATTGTATAAGTCAGACTATCTATTCTAGCTCCATATATTTAAAAACCTTTCATGTCACTTTGCTTTAGTATCATAAAGACTTAATTGATTGAAAAGTTAATCCACTTGCTAAGCCTAAGTGATTTGAATAGAATAAATTTAGGTTTCACTGGAAATACTATAATGATGATATATTACATGTATTTAAGCTAGTAATTTTCTGTCAAGTTATGATAGTTCCGAGAATTAAAATGTATTATAAATTTCCATTCAGAAGAGATACTAAGAAAAGCAAGTAGTCCCTTAAGTAGTACTATTTATACGTTCTATATATAATCTGTTCCAGATAATATTCTTCAGGGTATTTTGTTTCTCTACCAATTTATAATAATATATGATCCAATGTATCTACCATCAAGGTTGCCAAAATGAAACAAACCAGAAAAACAATAAAGTTTGGAGCTCTACGCAAGTACACGTTTTACTTTTCTCATACTAATGAGATTGAGTTACTTCCTCTGGCAGAACACTTTTACTTCAGCAAACAGTTTGTTTACTTTGTTTACTTAATTATCGCAGAGAAACGAAGTTTGTTTAGGGGATTGCGAGAGTCTAGAGGTATGGCGATTACCTGTATCTTCTTGCCGCGTTCCGCGGGTATTTCGTGAGCTTGGCAATGGCGTGCTGCTAAATATCATTCGCTCAACAACAACACCCAAGATCGGATCCGGTGCGAAGCTGGCTCACCGGTGCTACGCCGCTGACCCGAGTTTAAGTACTGAACGCCCGAATATTCCTGAGGTACAATTGCGACTCGGTTCGCGGCTGAGTCGAGGAGGAAATTCTCTCCCAGAACGCCCGATCGTTTGAATATGCTCTGCGGTGGCCGATAAAGCTGATAAGGCACTAGCACGCCGACACGACTGACTTCCCTCACCTGAACAGGTCCAAAGATCTGGTCTGTAGAGATTCCCCCCTATTTGAGTTTTGTCTTCCTCGGAAGTTTCATAATTACAGCGATAAAAAATCAATATATTTAGCAATCAATTGCATTGTCGGGAGTTCAGTGATCCAACTTAAGGAAGGTCTGTGTTTGCTTAAACAAAAGTTTCAGGTAATATGAAGCTCTGGTATTAAAAATAAAAACAATTGTAGCAGAAACCAAAGAGGGAATTAGTCACGATTCGGCAATCAAAACTTGAGAGAAAGCTGAACTTATAAATACAGAGATATGTATATTTATACTAATGTTACTTTTACAGTACCCAATAGTTCCGGATTCCTATTCCCCCAAATGAAGATAATTATAGCCCTTGGAACAACTGAATTTAAATCTAAAACATATTTAATTTAGTTATGTTTTTAACTTTAAGAGGTAACTGATTAGAACCCATCTACATTGCCATAGCATCTTGCCTAGGCTGATAGCGACAGATTCCTGGAAATACCCGCAAATAATCACTGTGATTTGAAAAATAAATATACTGATTTCTGTTTTTTTTCCAAACAAATTGACTTAAGCTTTATGTGATTTAGTAGCTATGTATACAGTTAGTTAAGGCTAAGAGCAAGTCAAAAAGCAGTCCTAGCAACGCGAGACATCGGGCAGCGTGCGCCCACGACACTTGCTCATCCAACCGGGCCAGGCCTGGAATCCATGGCGGTTGAAGATCTGCATGGCGCACCGTGAGTCATCCGAGATCTCGTCGTTTAGGAACTCTGGAATGGAAAGGTCCGGAAATCTCTCCTCATTAACATAACTGTGGCGTGGGCGAATGTGGAATGTGACCTTAGGGGGACTCACCTTCGCATTTGATGTTGCAGATACCACCGCGACGACCCTTGCGACACCAGTTTTTGCTGTTTATCTGTGAATTGTGGCAGATTCGTTGAGTGGCACAGGAGAAACTAGAAAAGGGGAATTGGGGTTAACCCACCTGGAAGAGTCCGTAGCTGACACTCTGGTTGGGCAGCTGCATGGACTTGGACGTGCTGCGTCCGCTCTCCGCTTCCACAAGACAAACCCCTAGGTGTATAAACAAATAATAAATTGAATAAGTAAATTAATGCCTATTAAATGCCTGGGAAATTAAATGCAACTTATGCAAATTGAAGTTTATCTAGTTATTTAAATTCCAGACCTTTAAGTTATAGTGAATTTAATACATTTTCTAGTCTGTTTTGTTGACAAGGAAAATATATTACTGAACATCTCTCAAGTGGACTAACTTTTAAGATTCAAGTTTTGGTGCCTTATGTGTTAAACCAACGACTTTAAGATCACCTTTACTATTATATATATTTTTTAAAACTTTGTATACTTTTTAATTACCCCACGATAAATACTTTGTAATCAAGAGTCTCTGTTGTTGACCCTTTGGATTTTGGTTTATACTCACAGTTGGACAGATAACTGCGGGGAAAGTCGTGACGCAACAGCTCCTTGGCCAACTGACACCGTGTCAGCAGCTTGGACTCCGTCTCCCATTGCGAGAGCAGGAGGAGATTCAGCACCAGGACGAGGGCACCGCCCTTGGGCAAGTGACTGGCCATGTCGGGTTAAAAGAAGGGATTAATCGTAGGTTGTGGGGACCACTGCTAATCCTTTGGACTTGACTTGAGAGAGATTCCAGAAATTCCAGAGCTTCCCTCCGCGGCAACTGCGAGCACTGTGCACTTTGCTGCGGAATTATTTCTACGAAACTGGATGCGTAGCGCCCGAAATCTGGGTTTTTAAAGCCTCGCACGCAGTTTTTTTTTCTTGAATCCACTCTGGTGGTGTCTGTGGAAGTGGGAGGTGTCACTGGGGAATGACCTGGTGACATGGAAAAAATGTGAAGGGGATTCAAAGATGATGAAAACGTAAACTATCACTAATACTATAATTTAATATTGAAGTGCTTGAGATTTCGGTGTTTTTTTAGCTCAAAAGAAGGGAGGAAATAATTTCAAAATCGGTCTGTAGTATCACATCTGTAGATTATCTCTCAGTGCATTCCATAAATCGCTCTGATTGCGTTAAGCTCTAAATTGGCAAATTGTCTTGCAGAGATAACAATGGGAATCTTAAGCCCGAAACGCATGTTTGTGTTTGTGTGTCAGAGTGTCAGTGACAACTGCGGCTTGACCTAAAAACGCACGATCTGATGATGTGCGGGGAGTGCATCCAGTGCATCCCGGCACACTTGGTCTCCGTCTCCAAGTGTTTACGCTTTCAATGGGCATGCCACTAATTTCCATGAAAACTTTTCCACTTACAGCCTACTTGCACTTCTCCTGCTCTCGCTGCAATGCGATTTGATAGCGGCCAATGACCTCAAGGATCTGTTGGAGGACAGTACCACGACCAGTAGCACCACCAGCTCCACCCCACGAACCCCTTTGGCCGCCTCACCCACAACGCCTACGGCGTACGTGGTGTCCGCAGCGGCAGTGCCCGCCACTGCCACAGGCAAGATTAGATCCAAGTCCTCCTCCGGGAAATATGTGAACAAGAGCTCGCCCAGGAAGCGCAAGGCGGAGCAGGTATCTTCGCTACCGTTGCCCGTAGACGATGGACTCACGGAATGGAAGTGTCCCAATATAACAGGCACCCGGAACGCGGAGCTCGAGTGCGGTTGTGATCTGCCCCACACCCTCAGATGCAACATTGATCTGCACGGACTGCTGGTAAGGATTCCTCTTGCTAATACCCTTAATAATCCTAAGCTTTAATAACCTTTCTTAACATCTTTCAGCTCCTTGCGGACAGACTGCGTACCTCTCCATACTCCATCTCTCTGCTGGACTGTTCCCTGCGCAATGTGACCTTCCTGAGCGATGCCAAGATCTTCGACGGAGTCTCGTTGCACGGTCTGGTCATCTCCTCCGGCGAGATCAAGCGGGTGCACAAGTCCGCCTTCTTGGGCATCCGTGGGCCACTACAGGCCCTTGGTCTGCCTGGCAATGCACTGATGAGCGTGCCCTGGAACGCCCTGTCCACATTGGGGGCCTTGGAGCGTCTGGATTTGGCTAACAACAAGATCAAGGCTCTGGGCACAGCCGACTTTGTGGGCTTGGGCCACCTGGTTTACTTGGAGCTGAGCAACAACCAGATCTCGAGCATCTCCCAGCGAACGTTCGGTAACCTCCGTAAGATGGAGGTGCTGAAGCTGGGCGGAAATAGGTTGGGTGACTATCCGCAGAGTTTGCGATCCTTGAGCCAGTGCCTCAGCCTGCGCCAGCTGGATCTTCAGGCCAATAACTTGAACGGGCCCCTCAGTGAGCAGACGCTGCCCGGGATGAGGAACCTGGAAAGCTTGAATCTCAATCGGAATCTGATCAAGAGCATCCAAAACAAGGCCCTGGCCAACTTCTCTCGATTGGTTAGTCTTTCGCTTCGCCACAACCAGATCGATGTGCTGCAGGATCACGCCTTCTTTGGCCTGGGCACCCTGGACAGCCTGGATCTGAGCTACAATGGCATCGTGGCCATCTCCAGTGCATCGCTGCAGCACCTGAGTCGCCTCACGGTCCTGGATCTCACGCATAACTTTCTCAGAGCCCTCACCTCCGATCTGATAGCACCGCTACCCTCGCTGAGGGAGCTGCGATTGGCGGGCAACGATATCTCCATAGTGGCTCGGAATGCTATGGATGGGGCTCGGGAGTTGGAGAGCCTCCAAATGCAGGAGAATCCGCTCTCGTGCGACTGCAGCATCCGGCCCTTCGCTGAGTGGCTGCAGGTGTCCCAACTACATTCCAGTCTCACTGCCTCCTGTGTAACGCCGCCCAGGCTGGAAGGTGCTCCACTGTTGCAGGTGCCCGTGGAGACGCTCAGCTGCGACATGGACAATGTGGAGAAAGATAATGCCAACATTATGCAGCATCTGGAGTCGCTGGCTAAGCCCAACCAGACGTCACGCGTCAAGGACTTGTCTGAGGAGGTAAGAAAGATTTTGAAAGTTACAAAAGGAACTTGATATTCATATTAATATTAATTACCAAATTTTATGATTATAGATTATTCTGCACGAGCTCCACTATTCGGCGGACTATGGCCTCATCCTTACCTGGCTCCTGAATCTTAGCAAGAAGGACTACATGTGCGATGCCATCTTTGTATATAAAGAGGAGAACATAAACGAGATACTCATAGACAACTCACCGGTAATAAGCTTAAATAAATAGTAGAATATTTAAAATCCTTGCTGAATCTTCAATCCTATCTGTTTTAGATCCACTGCGAGAGCAAAGTGGTCAATGGCCAGAACACAGTCAGCGTCATTGTGCCGGATAGCTCATCCCTGGAAATAGGCGAGAGGTGAGTTTGCTGCATTCCCTCTTTGCTAGATGAACATGTTAATAATTACCAATCTCTTCCAGCTATCGCTTTTGCCTGGTCATGGTCCAGGAGCCGAATTCAAAGAATGACCTGAACATCGGTTGCTCGAACATCACCCAGCTGCAGATGAGCAGTCCCGGCTCCATTCCCGTGTCGCGGCAATACCAAAGGCGTCCATACTACACGTCCAATGAGCTAAAGCCGGAGGCAGTGCACGAAGCTAGCGAGGATTACCAGCTCAATCAGCGGCGCTTCAATCCAGTGGTGGTGGTGGGCAATCAACAGCAGCAGACGCATCCTCATCAGCAATCGACCCTGTTGCACAGCTACACGGTGATTGATTCGCTGAACAAGAGCTTCCTTCCCGGCCTGGGTCTGGGCGTACTGGTCACCTCGGTGCTGGTCCTCATCTGGGGAGCGACCCGCATCCGACACTCGGGTGGCAGCAATGGCGGAGGAGGCGGTGGCGGCGGTAGGGGCAACGACAGCATCGGCAGCAACAGCAGCAGCATGCACAACAATAACAACAACAGTCGTCCGGGCACTCCGACGGCGACCACCTGCTATGCGGCCTCGGATCACATAGCCCGGCTGGCGGATGTGGAGAGCGGAACGCGCTACCTCAAGCTGCAGGCCACGACCAGCCTGTGAGGGAGCACTGGCAGGACGTTGCACCTGCCCACTCAATGAACCATGTGATAGTACAGCGGCAACTGTACCGACTTGCGTAGCTTAGACAATAGACGTAGCCCTAAGGTCCACTGCACTAATCCAAATAGTTGGCCCACACACTAACCCACTTGTGCCATAAGCTAATCGATACGTATCCCGAAACTCCCATATATGAATGAAGAGTGTACAGCTGTGGTCAAAAAAGTACTTGAAACATATTTGAATTCAGTTGAATTGTTTTTTGATATTTAAGTTTAGCATTATGTAAATTCTTTTGAACTAGCCTTCGACAGAAGTGTTGTCTAGATATCCTTGAATATAAAACTTTATATAAAGACATTTTAAAAGAGCAATCAGGGAGATTTTAACCTGAACTTTCACATCCATTCTTTTGACCTCAACTATATCGATTCCCTCAAATGTCGGACCTCTCTTGGTCTCATCCAGAACTAGTGTTAGCTTAGTGTACGCCTCCTTCGTGTTAAGAACGGAAAACGTAAGTCATGACCCCTTACAAGTAAGGCTTTAATAATTTATTAACCAATTCAAAGCACACAAAATAGAAAAGAAAAACATAATAACAAGTAAATAAATGTGAAATAAAAGCCAATTTCAATCGAACTGAAAGAGTTCCTAAGGTCAGTTGGCCAATTTTCGGAGGTCTATTTTTGGGGCTAGGCATTACCGCATAATGCTAAGTGGGATATTAACCTCGCACATCCGTGACGTCACGAATAACACGCCACAAACATATGTATGTATTTGCTTAGAGGAGGACCGTCAACCGTCAAATTAGCTCATTTCTCATGGTCACCACCCACGCGGTACTCCGTTTGGCATACGGCTTATCCTATCCTTATCAATCATTGCCCAATTTATCGACCTAATGAGAATTTTTAATGCTTATCCAGAAATCAAAGTTGGCAGCCACAAGAGCTGGACTTCGGATGCCGCCCCCAACCATGGGCAACTCCTCTACTGGCTTCTAGCCGCGTTATTGTTGTGGCCATCCGCTGATATGGCGACCGTGCGTCGGCCGCTCGGTCCCGAGTTTCTGGCTGGGTCAGTCAGTTGTTCCGTGCCAGCCGTCGGGCGACAACAATGACCACTCGACGACGCAGCCAACGTGACGGCATTTATCGATTTTTGTCACCACCCGTGGAGCGCTAGCCAGCTCCCCAGAGCACCCAGTCAAGGAAAAGTTCCAGCCCGCAGACCCATCGCTGGGTCGGACATCTACGGCCTTCACATGAGCATGCTAGGATTTGTGTATCTCGTTCTCATCCTGGGCTGGATACTGATCGTGCTGTTCCTCAAGTGCAAAAAGTCCTTGGCCGCTCCTTTTCGCTTTGGCGAGAACTACACTGATGCCATCGCCGATACGGGTAGGGTGTCGTGTCTCTGTCTCCACACACACAATATAAGCAAGGCAGATAGGAGAAATCAGTGTTGCATCTGAAAGAATAAACTTTTAAAGGTTATGTTATTTCCATATACACATTTTCGCAGACCGTCGTCCCTCGGTGCATGTAATCCAACTGCAGCACGATGATGTGGAACGGGAGGATCACTATCTGGACAGTTTTCACCAGAACACGGAGAACCTGCAGCGCTACTCTCATCGCTCGCAACGCTCCACCCTGGAGGAGCGTACCGTGGAGCGCACCTATCCCACGGATGCGGTGATAAATCCGGCCTATATGCACGACGAGGATTACGTGATCAATGGTAAGCGACGTTGTCCAATCCAGCAAGAGTTCCCTCTAATCAAGTTTTCCTGAAGCCCCGCCACCGTCGTACGAGGAGGTAATGCGCCAGCCACAGGTGTATCCGCAGGTGCGACACAACAATCACAAGATCAGTGATGCTAACATATAATTAGATATAGAGTCTAGATATCCCTTCTTTCAAATTGTATATACGCGTTCTTTCGTCTTTGTCTCAGCTGTGATTTACAGTTTTTGTATACGTTATAGGTTGATTTTTTATTTCACATTTCACCTAAACAAAACATAATCAATTCGATTGATTCAACTTAGGTGGCCTGCGCCCTCTTGCACTGCGAATAATAGTAGTGTTTACATAGAAAATGTACAAAATGATTTTACGCGTAATAAAGATTAATAGTTATGTGATTACGATTAATAATTACAAACAAACAGTCAGTCCACACGGATTGTAATTGTAATTGTAAATAAATTAAGAGTGAAGATTACTAAATAAAATGTGTACAAAAATAAAAACGTTCTACTTTCTTGTATTCTTTTGGCTAGATTAAGTCGCTAAATTCGATATACATATATATTGATACATATAAATGTGTTCCAACTTGGCTCAGTGCATTCACAGTTCTAATGACTTTAGTTGCGGCAAAGACTTTAAAATAAAATGATGAGCAACGCCGTACTAGAGGCTCCCATGAAAGCCATATTGCAATTCGATGTATAGTCGTCTTTCATCTAATTATTGTAAAGTCTTTGGTTGCGGCTAGTGCCTATGGCAAATGTCTACGGGAGCACCTTGTGCACGCTGTGCATTTGGATAAAGGCCTCCAGTTGCGTGGGTATCAGGCCCTTAAAGTTCAGCCTGTGGCTGGCAATGGTGCGTGCAGCCAGACACTTGAGGCTGGTGTGAGCATTCTGATAGGCATGCAGCCGATTGGCCAAGACAGCTAAAAGGCAGAAATGTATTATAATATATATACCCATTATTATTCCCTTAACTTACGTTGCTTGCAGGCCGTGGCTGCTGTCTGTCCAGCCGCATTCACCGCATCCAAATGCGCCCCAGCCTCGACGAACAATTGGAGAATGCGTGCCATCTCCGCCTGACGATCTTGCGTGGTGTTCACCTTGGTCACCAATATGTGCAGCGGGGTATTGCGTGCCGCATCCACAGCCACCACGGAGGCGCCGCAATGGACCAAAACCAAGGCAGTGGCATAGCAGGGGAATCTAGTTGGGGAATTCTTTCAGTTTATCTTGGTTAAAGTTAAGTATAAGCAATAATACCTGCACATTTCATTTGTATAGAACTCATCCACCGGCATTACTCCGTTGACTGCGATATGCAGCAAGGTCTGACCGTCCTGAAGGCGCGTGTCATTCTGTATGAACTTGCGCACCACAAGAAACAGCTGCTGGATGTGCTCTTCGTTGATGTCCTGGTCCTTCTTGCGACGAGCCAAGTGCGTCACGATCTTGATGAGATACAGTGCAGTTATGCAGTTCTGATTGTTCTGGTCCTGCCATAGACTGGGACAAGCGTTGGGCTTGGCTTCCTTTATCTTGAACTTGTTGTTCTCGATCTCCTGCTGGCACTTGGCCAGAACGGGCAGCACGTGATCCAAGGTGAGGTTGTGGTTCTCGACGCGCAGTATTTGGGCGAAAAGTTGAGCGAAACGAAGGAGATCGCGATCTACGGACACCTAGAACAGAATTACAAAGTGTTAGAAGTATTGAACAATTAAAAATTTTAATAACTCACATTATTTCGCATTCTCAGATCTATGGCATAGTTCCAAAGCACTTGGCACTGATAGAACCTGCCCTGATCCGCCATTACTGCTCCCCGGTAGATGATGGCCTGCGGCAATTCCGGATTATTGCGTCCCAATATCCGCTCTCGGATAGCCAGGGACTCCATGTGAATGGAGTGGTGGTTTAATTTGATGGCATACAATTCCGGCAGGTTTTCAGTCTCAAACCAACTGTCATAAGCGGGCACAGAGGGCTGAACCCGCTTCCGGATAATGCGTCGCGGATCGCTATATCGCATCTGCATGGCTCTCAGCAGATAGCTGTACGCCTTATTCACATCGTACTTAGTCTTGTCATTCGCATAAGTGGCCCCTAGGAGCTCCAGGGCCGTAATTTGCTCCTCTAAGCTCATCAGTCCCGGCCTTTGAATGAACGCCTCGAGAACATCTTCGTGGAGCCGTTCGGCTGCCTGCAAGGCTGGCGTAATGCCCAATTCATTCTTTTTGAGAGTGGCTCCATGGTCCAACAGGGCAACCACAACATCCAAATGACCGCTCTCAGCGGCATAGTGCAACGCTGTGGCTCCACACAACGCCTGGTCGTTGGCCCTGGACCCATTCTGTAGAAGGGTGTTTACCACCAAGTGGTGACCCTTGTAGGCGGCAATCATCAGTGTGTTGTTATTAAATAGATTCGTGGCATTCACATCCGCTCCATTGTCGATAAGGAATTCGACAATGTCCAAGCGACCTGGAAGGATATTCACATTAGATGAAATATAATGAGAAATTTCACTCTTTTTCGATCAGTATCGACTGGTTCCTACCCTCATAACAAGCTGCTCTCAGCGGCGACGACTGCGCCTTCGTATTGTGGTTAATGGCCGCCCCCGCTTGCACCAGCATTTTGACAATCTGCAGATGCCCCATACCGGCTGCCACCCAAAGGGCGGTGGCTCCGTATACCACCATTCCGTCAAAGATGACATTGCACTCCCGCTCCAAGTCAACGTCATAGTGCGATAGCAGGGTCTTGACGAATTTCACATTGCCCGACATGGCGGCCATGGTGAGCGGGGTCAGCGATTGTCCATCTGGCTGATCGAAATTCTAGGGAAACCGAAAAAGATATATAGAGAACGTTAGAGGGGCCGTAGGCGATGGGAAACTTATGATGTGCGTGCGCAGCCGTTTCACAGTCAAGGTTGGACGAAAATAGTGCGTTGCTAGTGTGAAGTGTATAGCATATGTATCCATCTTGGTGGAAAATGTGCAGCAGGCTTTCTTTGTTCGCTTTACAATGGAAAGTCCGCGGACCAAAGTCCATAAATGGGATATTGCGCTGTGGCCACAGAAATAGCATCTGGGTCAAGAAACTGCTGCCCAGGGACTTCGCACACTCACCGCCGGGTACGTGATGTAGTTGGTCACGGGCAGCGTATCGTTAGCTCCTCGCCAGAAGCCAGCTCCTGGCCAGGCGGACTCATACCAGCGCTTGCGAGTGCTGCAATTATGGTTTTTGGAGAAAGGCAATGATTCAAGCTCTAAGAGGATCGAAAAAAGGTCTATCTATGTATCTTCTATTACCGATACAACTCCGCGTGCATGGCCTGGAATCTGAATTTTAACTGGCAGCTGCTGGCTGTGCAGCATAGGTCCTGCCGAGCACCGAAAAACTCGATAAAACTTCGCCAGGCACACGATTCCCAACCCTAAGTTTGCATATACGGCCATTTCTGGGGGTTGAATCGAATCGAACCGAGTCAAAGACATACATAGATCCTGCGCAGGGCCGAACAGCTGTTCACCGAGAGAGGTCCTTGAGGGTTTGTTTACCACCCGCAGCTGTTCGCCTGCATTCCTGCCACTCGCAGAGAGAAAGAGCGATATCAAGGGTGGGGGATTTACCCGCATTCCTTAAATTGTTTGGCATTAAAATGGATTTCATTTCATATTTATGAATCTTATTTTATGAAATATATTATAGATTTGTGGTGGAATTAAAGCATCTAAATTTGTTTAACCTTTTCTTGTCTTTATAGCCCAGTTTCAATTTATATGGACTAATTACGTAGAGTATTCGCTTTTTGAATTAATTATATTAAATACATCATTTTAGATGATGTTAAAATCTCATTATTTTTCCTGTGTTCTAATCTGCAATCCCAAATCTAGTCGGTTTGTATGCAAAGTATAATTATTCCTATTGTGAGCAATGTTTGCTCTACAAAGTTCGATTAGATTACGACGCAACGTGATGGTGGCGAATATATTTGGTTAATAAACAAATTAATAAACGCACATTTCACATTCAAGATTTCAGGAAACTGTAAAACATTCGGCGACTGGCAACCGGCCAATTCCGTGTCCAGAGAGACACGCCACCCATGAGTAATTGGTTAAAGATGGCCCACTACTGGGTGTCACCTACTTGATGTCCCATTGATTGTGGCACTGGGCATCTCTTGGTGCCTCGAATAGGGCTCGGATCTCTACGGTTTGGTCATTAATTCCCCCCCCCCTTTCGGGGCTCTTACTGCGGATTGCCGATTTTTGCTTGTCTTTTTGGCAGGCAGTAAAGTTATAAACACACAAGAGTGGAACAGTGACAGCTCGTTAAATACAACTATTAAAGTGTACACCTTAACTTGAGATTCAATTCTAATCAGGCCCAAAAAAAAATTAAAAATATGCTTTAATTTATTAAATACACAGGGTAAACGGATAACCATTATTATCGGTTGACAGCAGTTAACAGATTATCACTGTTATGGAATGACCACTGTAGAATGAACAGAGCATATGGCAACATCCCCCTCCCTAACACTCCCTGTCTCTTTCGCTCACTCGTTCCCTCTCATAAACAATGACAACAAGTAAATACCAAAAACAAAAACACCAGCAATGGAGCGTTTAAATGCGCTCTTTGGGGCAGCGCAGACAGTGGGGTTTACATATAAACCCAATACGTATACGTGCGGCAGCGATTTTCATTAATGACGCAGTAGTAAATTAAGGCAATTACGCAAAGGAAGGCAGCGTTCGCACCACCGGGTACTCACTGTATTGACCAGGTGCGTCTGCACCTCCCTGCTGCTGACGGTGTTCAGGATCTCGACGAAGCTCATCATCTGGCCGCCACGAGCAGCCAAGTACAGGTTGTTTAGCTGCGAGAAGCGGAGGCGCTCCTGCGGGAACTTGGCCCGAATCTCCTCCGAAATCTCCACCAGCATGCCGTGGGCAATGTTGAAATAACCAAAATCGGGCGGGTATCCGTCGTATATAGAAGTGTGCTCCTCGTCTTGAGGCTCATCCGCCGGATCGATCTCCATTCTGATCGCGATTTATTCTCTTTTTTTCACGGCGAAGAATTCACGGAATCTTTCGGAATGCGCTGATCATTAGAGATGGAACCACATCGATGATTTCGATGTTAAAAACACAAATATCGATCATATTTTTATAATAAAAGCTCAATAGTATTGTGGCATAACACGATATTTTCCCCACCTCTAATGTATCGTCTTTTGCTAAGTCCGCGATAACGATGTCTGTGCCGCGAAATTTAAATATATACATTTGAACTTCTGTACCTTTTACACTCTGCTATAAATACGGAATTTCAAAACGCGTTTCTGTTTTATCCTAGTACCCGTGATATCAGATAATCACACCTTTTACATTTTAATCGTTTATTCACGCATCTTATACAGATTTACGTTGGGATTCACATTGTCATTTTGAATTTGTGGTACGTATGGAATTATGAAATATGACAGCTGAATTATTTGGAGTTTACGTGTACTAGTGAGTGGTAAGTAAGTGTCGGGAGTTATCCGTTCTCATGTACATAAGATGGGATTTGGGTCTAGTCATCAATGTGAATGTTTTGAACATTTACGTGTACTAGTGAGTGGTAAGTGTCGGGAGTTATCCGTTCGCAGGTACATAATATGGGATTTGGGTCTAGTTCATCAATGTGAAAGTTTTGAACATTGGACCAGGCCTGGCTGTGGGATGGGAATATTATGTTGGTTCTTGTGTGAGCGGAGGCCTGTCCAATGCAAAATTTTCATCGAGGCGTTTTCTGGCTCTATTTTTCCGATCGCCCATCCTGGGGCGATATTGTGCATCTGTTCGTATGGAAAACTATGCCTAAACGCTGCGGTTTGGTTTTTCTGTACAATCATATTATGGTTTGCGGCTTTTTCCTTCTTCTCCATCATTATAATGATATAATTGCATGTTGCTCTCGTGTAGTTAGTGCAGCATCCTCCAAATGCTTCGCCCGGGTTCTACAACAACGTCTCGATTAACAGTTCTTGCTTTTAATTAGCAAATTGAAGCCGTGCCACTCATTACCACACACAGATCACGATGACGATCACGGTCACTTCACCCATTCTGCATCCATTCACCGACATGTTCGTGAGTGTGGGTTGTGCAGGCTTTCGTACTTGTGGTAATAGTTAGTACACTGAAATTTTGTGCTTACACAATAATTTTGAGGTTGTTTCTGATCTGTGGCAGTTCTTCAATAAGGAAAAAGTTCGCTTGTAGTCTTTTCTTCTTCTCCCGTTCATTACTTGGACATTTTTTAATTGGTGTTATACGTGTGTTCTATCATCCCGAAAGTTCTACTGAAATGTTAAATTACAAATTAGAATTTTAGCAAAAGCCAATCGACTACTTTTTACTGAATTCAAAAAGCGGTAAAGGTATTTCTATAAAACTTTGATTTATAATAAAAGTGTACAAATGTGTAAAAGTTTTGTATAATTTCAGCTTTCATGTTGCTCGATTTCAGTCTTGTCGAACTCAGTAAATTGGATAATGTGGTGTATACGTTTTGTTAATAGCTGGAAAAAGCTATAGATTTGCAATCGAATTTTCATTTCGATTTGATGTAAACAATTCAATTATACAAGCATAGCGTAAGTCGTAAAAATAATTAACAATCTACCCGAGTGATTACACCCTCGGCAACTACTTGATCTACAGAGCAACTGGCAAAGGATTAACTGGGGTATTTACTTTACAGAGCCACCAAAAGGTGTTTAGTTTGAAGCCACAATGGGCACCGGGGCGGGCGATGGCGGCTGTATGGCAGCTGGGGCCGTATTGTTGAGATCCGCCTTGATGGGGGTTGCATCAGCATCCAACACCTTCGACTCGTTGACACTGCCGACACTATGGCGGGTGTTGCGCTTGCGCTGTGGACGCCCCGCCGCAGTCTTGTTGGGCGATGACGACTTGGTGGTGGAGTCCGGCAGCGAGGACACGCTCTGCGACTTGTCCCCTCCGGCTCCGAACTCGGTGCTGGTAGAACGAGAGCTGATCATCCCGTTCTTATGCCCGGGCTGGTTTACGTTGCGGCGATTGCGGCGACGATTGTTGTTATTGTTGTTCGACTTAACCACCGGTTTGATTGTGGTCTTATTGGGATCGAAGAAGCTGTCCAATAGCTCTATAAGCTCTGACTTGTCTTCGGTCTTCAGTGTTTCGATCGACTGCAGGGCCATGTCGAGACCCTCGGTGCCCTTATCCGTCCAGATGGCGTTCAAGGAGTTGAGATCAAACCCGTTCTCCGCCAACACGATGCGGAACTTGACAGCGCGTACACGGTGGTACAAAGTGGTCTTAAAATAGTTGAGAAAGACCGGACGGAAGGAGTTCTGGCGCTCCAGGTTCTCGTTCTGGGTGTCCAGTTCCTGGACATCGGATCCAACTAGCTTAGCAAATGGCTTCAGAGCGTTTAAAAGGTTCTCCAGAGCCTCCGAGGACTCTGGCTCAGACTTGCGCTCTGCATTGCTCAACTGGAGGGCAACATTGAAAGCCATCTTGGCACGCACGCTAGCATTTCCTTCGAACTGTTCACGCTCGTACTTAACGCCACTCTTGACGGAGCGTTTCTCAAAGTTGCTGCTGCTGCTGCTATTGTTATCGGCAGCGGTGCTGTCGATGGCCTCCGTGGATGTTGATACCGATCCGGAGCCGGAACCGGATGGAGAGACCGAGCTGCCTGACGAGTCCTCCTTGGACTTGGACAAGAGCTTCGAGAGCTTGCGCAGACTATAGTTTTTGATGTTAGTATCGCCAATGGAGGCCTTGGCCAGGTTAAGGCTGTTGGCGAAGGCCTTGACGGTCTTGGTGAATCGGTCAAGCAAGCCGTACTTCTTAAGGGACTCCAAAATCATGTACGGAATGAACTTGCGCTCCTCGTGGTAGATCAGCACAATCCCTTCCGAGCGGGAGCCCTCCTTCGCCATCAGCTGCTCTAGCCAATTGAGGAAGTCCTTCAAAGCGGCGATCTCTGACTTTGATTTGATGATCTAGGAATGAGAAAATGTATACAAATTCAAGGAATATTTATTTTGTATATAAATCGATTAAATGTCATACGAAAAATTACATGTTCTCATTTTCTTTTAAAAACATTATTGCTATTATATTATATTTTTGTTTCCTGAACCTTTTATAAAGTTAATTTTAAGCTGATACATATGTATTTTTAAGAAATAAGCGATTTTAGGCAATTTCTCTAATTGACAGCTGTCAGATTTTTGTAAAATTAAAAATAAGCCTAAAAAAGATTTTCTTAAATGCATGGCATCAAATTAGATCCAATTTTCTAAGGAAATAAGATGCAGAGGCATCTTCTTCTTACTATATTAGAGGGGATTGACACCTTCATATTTCTATATTCCCAATATGAAAAAAAATTCCGAATAACTTACCTTAAAGGTCTGCATCGACTTAAGCATACGATAAAAGCCAATCGAAATAACACGAACTTGATGGCGCTGGCGCGCAGCTGGATTTAGATTCATATAGGGCATGATGTACTGTTCGAAGTGGTCGGAAGGTGTATAGGCAGCCAGCTGGACGATCTGTGGGCATAGCAAAAGTGGGGTTAGGTCCGACTCCTTTCGAGTCGCGGACGAGGGGATCTTACCTCGTCAATTAAACGACGTCCAGTGGTGTCTATGTCGATAGCCACCAGGAGGTAGTCGCCTACTGGCAGTTCATCCTTCTCGACCAAAACCACCGAAGATTGGTCGGCGGGGGCAATGGTAACTCCAGTAGCATCGCTGTTATCGGCAACCATTTTTCTCCTATACGAACTGTTCAAATCGAGGTGACGAGAAAATGAAATGACGGAAGAAAAAAAAAATAATGACGTTTGACGTTTAATTTCTTTTCACAAAGATGGGGGAAAAAATATTTTCTCCAAAAGACCGCGATCCGCTTTGAGATTCGTTCACGAAGTGCCGGCCACTGACTTCTTGGAGTCGGTTGAAGCCACTGGGAGAGCAGCGGTTCCCTTCCAGGAACGCCATCTTCCTTCGGCCCTGCTCCACTTCCACACGCACACACACACACACAGAACGTACTCACCGCAATCACTGATTTTATTTCACACTCACTTTTATTAAATTCCTTTTCGTGTTAATTTCGATGGGCTCTTTCGCTTTTTACGAACTTTTTCCTTTATTTTTCAAAAGGGTAAAGCGAGATTTGCTTCCGTTCGACGAGCTTTCACAAATAAGAAACAAATCGTAGGACTAACTAAAACGGAATGAATTATTTCAGAAGGCAGCTCCCGGCTTGACAAGTCGGCTGAAGTTTGCTCGAAGCCCACGGCCTGCTTGATGATAAAAGTTAACTTGGGTACGATATGAGCTGCACCTGTAGATTTTGGCAAAAAGCTCTATGACCACTTTGCGATTTTATAAAGAGTGTGTAATATTTAATGTGGCTGTGGATGTGGGTCGATGGAATAACCCTTGAAACCAACGATTGCTTATGCCAAATTTTAATTAATTTCTGCAAATATTACGGCTGAAAATAGCCGGTGAAACTTTAGCCGCAACAACAAAAACTAAGCTGGAAGCGCACTGCAGAACTGATAACAGCCAGTGTTGGCAAACGGTGCTGCCACCTTCACGTGGCCTTGCCAGATTGTCGCGCGCAGAAGTCCAGCTGTCAGAGTAGTTGCACACAAACAAAAACCAGCTGATGCGCATCATTTTCACAAATCAAAGACCTTTAATGAAATTATAGTGAAATTAAGTGCTTAAACAAGCAAAATATAGTATCATAAACTAAAACCAACCTAAGGAATTATGCTCCATTGATTGCACACCATCGCACACCCGCATACACCCGTGCAGACACAGAAAAAGATAAAACCGTGAGAGATAAGCGGTCCCAAGGTGCCAAACATGCTGTCCTACATCAAGCGTAAGCTCTCCGAATCGGACAGCGGCAGCGTCAGTGCGAGCACAGCCGTGACGTCGTCATCGTGCGGCGGTACAAGTGGCAGCGGTAGCGGCATCAGTGCCAGCGGCAGCAACAGCAGCGGCAGTATCAGCAGCAGCGGCGGACGCGGGAACTCTGCCGACGAGTTAGTGCGCAAAACGAGCCAGATGTCGATGGATGATGAGGCCATTGCCTTCGGAGAGGATGCGCTGCTCCACGAGCTGGGCTACAGGAATGCCACAGACCTGCAGGAGACCATATACGGTTTGAAGACTTTACACCTGACCAAAAATTATGTAACCTTAACTTTCTTGTGTCGTCCATAGATCTGTTGCGAGGGATTCGCGATCCGGAGAAGCCGTGCACGCTGGAGGATCTGAATGTAATTTACGAGGAGGGGATCTTCGTGATGCCCCCCACGCGCTCGAATGTCTCTGTGGTAGGTTATTAATTTCGTTAAACTGATAAGTGATAATCCTCGTGATTATTTTCACAATAATTCACAATTTTACCGTAGAAAGAATTCCTTTTTAATCGCTGTTACATTACGATTTAAAGTTTATAACATTCTTTTGCTCATAAGAAGTACCAAAAGCACAATTTAATGACTATCCATGTAATTAACACAGGTGCGCATCGAATTCAACCCCACAGTGCCCCATTGCTCCCTGGCCACTTTAATTGGACTCTGCATACGCGTGAAAGTGGAACGTGGTCTGCCGCACAACATCAAACTGGATATATACATCAAGAAGGGAGCCCATCAAACAGAGGAAGAAAGTGAGACTAAATCCTCCACTAAAAGATATACATTTATTCATTTATTGTTCTATCCAAACAGTCAACAAGCAAATTAATGACAAGGAACGCATAGCTGCGGCCATGGAGAATCCCAATCTGCGGGAACTGGTCGAGAATTGCATCAAAGATGAGGAGTAGCTTTACCTCACTCTCGATTTTTGTGTGTATATAGGGATTTATAAGGAATGTCTAGGGTTAAGTCTAACAATAAGTTGCCTAATGGACTGTGTGCATAGCATTAAAGCCCTTCAAATCTGTTAATCGCCCGGTGCTTGCTGCGGCGTGATTCTACCTGAGTATCGATTGCTTAACCTCCTATCTATTTTCCCCCGTTTGTTTACTGATAAGGCCCTCTGGTTTCAACGCCCATTGTTTACATTCTGCCGGAACGATATCGCAGTTCGACGGACCGGACACTTGGCCAAAGAACACCGTGTGCACAGCGCTGTCATGGCGGACCGGATCGTTACGCCGGCCATCTTGGATGAGCATGCATGCGAGTGGATTTATCAGCACCAGCCAGAGAATGTTTGGGCCGGGAAAGGGCACTCACCTGGCGCTGTTAAGTTGAGTGCATGACACACATTTGAATCTGCTAATTTCTTTGCAACTCTCCGGTTTCAGTGAGCACTTTGTTGCCGCTTTCTGCTGTCGCTGCTTCTGCTCCAATTTGCATTTCCGGGATTTTCCATTTGTTAAATTGCACTGCCAGCCCCACTTCTCCAACCCCCAGCCATAAATATTTAGCAATATCAATTAGTTGCTTGGCCTCGCTCTCAAATGCTTTAAACTAATTTTCAAAGACTTGGCAAAAAACATCCCGAGGAGCAATTAAAACCATCTGCCGCTGGAAACTTTTTGCCATGACACTGCCGGTCAATATGCGCAGGATGGGAATTGGAATGGGTATAGGAGATGCCTCTCAGGCTTACTGCTGCTTCTGCTGCTTCTGCTGCCTCAAAGGGCGAAGGAAAAATAATAAAAATGAATTCACAGACAAAGCATATTGCGAATATTACGCTAATTGGTGACTGCAATCAAAGCGGACCACGTCGCGGACACGTTGTCGAAAGAAATAGGCGAAGCCGGGCAGGGACTTTGAGGTAGCCGTGACTCCGCCTGGCCATGACCAAGCTGTTGCCATACCCTTCCATTCCACTGTTCAAATGACCAGGCTTCAGGTGATTCAGTGTCAGGCGGGTATTAATGTCTAGGTAAGAGTGTTTGAGAGACATTTTTACTGTTTCATTTCTTAAAGAATTAAATGCGTTGCTATAGATATAATTTAGAACTTTTAAACAACACTTTTTATGTAAAATTCTATTTTAAAAATGAACTCAAACGACCTGTGTTTTAGCTTCATCTTGTTCATCTTTTTTGGTAATAAAACATGGTACCTTTTGCAGAAGGTTGAAATATTGAGATTTTTTGCCTGTCACCCGGTCTGTTCATTAGATGCAAGTCTGCCCAGGCTGTCTGGTTTCCAGGTGACACTTTAATAACCACGTTGCCGACGGAAGTAGGCAATCTTGGGGGAGCCATGTCATGATGACTCCGTTGCTTCTCCGGCCATGTCCCATGGCAGTTTCGTGGGAAACCCGACTGCGACAGAATTTTATGTGCGAAAAATGCATAATTTATTTGGTTAATGCATATGCATTTAAGCCGGGCCAACAACTGCAGCAATTCCCCAGGATTTGCTGACCGGCAATTGTCATTTGTGCAGCGGTCAAAGTGACCCATTTAACCGGGCTGCAGTGCCGGTGCCCGAGCCCGAGCCCGAGCCCTTCATCCGCCTCCGGCCAGAGTACATACATAAGTAGGCAAATGCAATGAGTCCGGTTGCCCAAGTCGCAGTTGCCCGAAGACGAGAGGCACAGATTGCGGCCACCGAGATTTCCTTCCGATATGCAATGCTGTTAAATTGTGTGCCATTATTATGATTGCCATCGTCCCGGGGAGACGGAGGGACGGAGAGCCGGGGAACTGCCGGATGGACGGACGAACGGACGGACGGACGAATGAGCTGCACAGGATGCCGGAGCCACGACCGGCTGTGGAGTTGCATTCACACATTGTTCGGCTGCTCCGGGTCTCCGCATATGCCATGTATTTCATTATGGGCTCCAATCCCCAATCCCATTTTCTCCCCTCGTTTCTTAAGTGAGAGCGAGGGTATCCTCGGTTTGAGGTGGGCATGATGGGTTCACATGGAGTTTGGTTAGTTGTATGAATCTTTTGATCACAAAAATCATAGAAATGCGAATTAAAATTTCAAATTAATATATTAATATAGATTCTGTTAACACAATCGTTGAGTTATGGTTTTTATACTCTTTTTCAGGGTATTATAATATTAGTCAGAAGCTTGAAACTAAGTGAAGGAGTCATTTTCGACCCTATAAATCATATATATTATTGATCAGCATCACCAGTTGAATAGATATAGCTCTGTCTAGTAGAAAAATAAATTTTGATAATTTTTTCAACATTTTATTAGGGGTTACATCGTTAAAATTTTCAAATTTTGATAAAAGATGTAATTTTTTAAATTTTAAAACTCAGTATATAGATTTATTGGCCCTATAGAAACTAGCACAAAAATGCTTTCCGATTTGATATTTATGCATTTTTGGCAAAGTAATGATAATTGAAAGATTTTGTAATGTAATATATCTAGAGTTTGATTATTTTAAGTTTTTCTTTTTTATATATTCGAAGACCAAGAAGCCAATGATTGCCAAAAGTCATATATATATATATTTAAATTAACAATTAAATTTAAGCCCATTGTGCTGCTATTCTATACAAGTCAACACAAAAAAGATTTCCAAAGATATATTAATGATTAATTGTAAGATCGATTGTACGTTCAAGTCCTTGATCCTATGTCTATCTGCAAGGGTATACATTCTTCGGCAACTCGATAGCTTCGATAGCTTCGATAGCTTTCTTGTTTATATTTATTTATAAATCAAATGTCCAATTTATTTATATATGCTAGTAAAAACCTACAATTCAATGATATTATTAATTTTTTCATAAATGTTTCTGAACTTAAAAAGTGAAAGAAACTGCTGCATAATTTAATAAGTAATCCCCGGTCGTAGCTCCAAAACTCTTAACCAATCTCAGTTGCTATTTTTTCAGGTGACTATGGTGTTATTCGCGTTGTTACAACCAATTGTTGTAATTGTCCTAGCCAGAGCAGTTGGCCGTAGCTCCTTAAAGCCGGAAGTAACACTCAGTGGCGTAAAGCTGCCGACGGCTTACGCAGCGTATGCGCATTATGCAAAGTCCTGGTCAGTGGTAAAAGCAACGCCAGAGCCAGAATCAGCCGCAGATGTTTCACAGGAGCAGCAAGGACAATGGGGCAGGGTAGGGAGGGAGGCAGCAGAGGATCAGGCAGCCCACAACTGGGCTGGGCCATTCAACAACTGACAACTTACGCATCAGCGAAGGCAGAGACACAGAGCATTTCGGGGTGCAGGAAGGTGGGTTCGGGTCCAGGTCCGGGTCCGGGTCGGGGTACGGGTACGGGTACGGGTACGGGTCCAAAGTGCAGCGGGTAGCCCGGGACTGAGCTCTGTCTGAGCCGGAGCCAGAGCCGGAGCCGGAGCCGGAGCCTCTGGTCGGAGCAAGAGGAGTGGCAAGCAGGGGCTTTTGTTGTTTGCACTGCCATTAATTTCTGTTGCACTCGGCTCGCCATTTATTTCGTAAAATGTGCCACCGTTATGAGTTGCCGGGAAACCCTTTTTGTATCTGTCGTTTAACCCTTGGTTGCCCCGCGTGGAATTTTATAACAAATTTCGTATTTTAAATCGTAGGAAATATGGATAATAACAATGATTTAAAGTTTTGTATATTAATAAATATACACAAAAGTAGGGAAGGCTTGTTGCAAATTCTACAACACAACTTTAATTTAATATGACAAATAATCAATCGAAATTAATATCAATTTTATATTTGCTGGGGATAATACTATTTAATTATATTTTTGGCTATTAAAATTGATGGCTGAATTGAATATAGATGAAACTACATTGCTTTTATTCTAAAACAGAATTAAAACTATACATTTTAGGTATATTAAGACTACAGCTACAAAAAGTTTTGTATAAATTTAAAATAGAGTTTAGTGAAGTAAACACATTAAATAATAAATAATAGAAATTTAACTTTTCTTTGTGGCTAAGTTATTGATCAGTTTGTTCACTATCCTATTCCACACATCCTAGGGCCTGAATAATTTGCACTTGGCTTTGGGCGTGAATGGGTTAACCGGGCCAGGAGACCGGAATGGCTACCGAGGATGGAGCGCCTGCCAAGCGGAAGTGGTCGCGTGCGTTGCATCCTGTCGGCAATTATCCTGCAGGGGCAACAACAATTACAGTTACAGCTGTTACCGCTCCTGCCTCCTGCCTCCTGCCCGTACCCGCCCACGATTTACCCCTTGTCCGCCCGGTTGTAAGCCATTTTAATTGCTTGTCTCTTTTTAATTTTCAGCTCTTTTGTTATACTTCACCCTTTGGCCCCACATCCCACCTGGCATATATCCTTCCATATATATATATATGTATATATATGTACTTGTATTTAGCCTTTGTCTGTTAGTCCTTTCTTTGCCTCAAGTTGACATTTTTGCTGGCTGTGCTGACTTCTGGCCAAGAGGTCGCCGCTCCTAGGGGTCCTCGAGGGTCTTTGCTGTTGACCATTTGCCGGTGCTAACGAACTAATGTCGAATGCACAGCAAGTGCCATTCGAGCTTCCGCCGGCTCATTGACCAGAAGACGCCAGCAACTGCAATTAACAAAAGGTGCAGGACCACGTTCTATTGTCCTGCCAGGAGGTGAGGTGAGGTGAGGTAAGGTGAGGTAAGGGGCATTCAATCCGGAATCGGAATGGTGTCCGATGGCAGCTAAAACGTGTGTAATCAGAACATAATTGTCTCAAAAGCCACTTGCTCGGTGTCACAAAATGGGAACGTTTGCTTTCTGCTCAAGCAAATCGGAAATCGATTAAGTTCTTACTCCTAATGGAAGCTATGAAATTGTAAATTTATACTAGAGACAAGTATAAAGTTTACTAATAGCTAAAATATTTAAATTCAGTATAGTTTAAGCTTATTAGCCTGAATCTATTTAATAGTGTTGCTGATTACTTATTGCTAATTAATATAAAATGGTTGACAAATAAAAATATACCAAGGAATATGTATATATTATTAAGCGTCAGGACAAAAGATAAAGCACTCATATTTTAATCAAACATAGATATCACATCAGCAA